GTGTGTGTGTGTGTGTGTGTGTGTGTGTGTGTGTGTGTGTGTGTGTGTGTGTGTTTCTCTTCCCTCCTGCAGGACTCTGGAGAAAAACAAAAAGAAAGGAAAGATCTTTTAAGAGACAGTCGGCAGGACGACCCCCAACTCCAGTTATTTTTTTGTTTGCCAACGTTGCCGGTTCAGGACACCCGTGTGTGTGACACTGACATCACCCTCCTCCTCTTCCTCTTTCTCCCCCTGCTCCCCTCCCTTTCTCCCTCTCCCTGTGCCCCGTCCCTGCTCTGTCTGCCAGCACAGCTGTCCTCCTGCTCCCAGCCACTAGAGGGGGGTGTTGTGGGTGTGTGAGGAGGTGGAGGGCGTCTGAATGTACAGTCAGAACCGCCACCACAGAGCGCCCCCCCCACCCCGCTGCCTCGGGACTCATCATCAAAGTATCAAAAAATAACCCCATTTCAGAACGGCCAAACCCATATTATTATTTTTATTATTATTATTGATGTTATTATTATTGTTGTTGTTCCCCCTACCTGCTGCTCTCTTTTTTATTTCACCCTAAGGTTGCTTTTAAATGACTAATGTGTAAAGTTTTACAGAGAGCACAGATTTAAAAAAAACAAAAAAAAAAAAAACATCTCTGACTGTTGTACAAACAAGTTCTGGTGAATTTTATTTGTTTACAAGAAAAATGACAGTTACAGTAAATGAAACTGATCTTCCGTCATGTGTTGAAGTAAGAAGAGGACGAGGCATTGACTAACCCTTTGTGTTTGGTTTTGAGTGTATCCAGTAAACTTTTAACCTTCTATCAGCGTGACAGAAATGAAACGCGTCAACAACAACAACCTGAAACCAAGACAAACAATGAAATGCACCGTGGGCCTTTTTATAGATAAAAAACAAACAAATGTAATGCTTTCTTTTTCCTCTGTGTTTAGCTCTTTTCCACTAGCCTTGGACCACCATTTATAATGTCATAAGTGTTATATTTCACCTTAGTTTATTTTTATATATACCGAGCCAGCTGGAGTAATAACTTCTTTTGTATGTTTAGAAACAAATCCTCAGACTTGAGAGCAGCGTCCACTGTTTAACAGAAACACACATTTAACGGTGATCCATCGATGCTTTAGGAAATACAACAATATTTCAATCACTCTGCGGTAACTATCTGTGGAAAATGAAGAGTCAACACCGCAGTTTGCTTTGGCTATGTACTCCATCTCTGTATTTTTAATTTTATTTTTCATTTGTATTGTACAAAGTCACTTAATAAACCTGTGATGATATTGAGGAGTGAGATGGGTTTGTTTTGAAAACTGGTGTGGATGCGTTTGAAATGACAGTTTTTATGTTTAAATATTACTGTTGAGTTTTTATGGAAGCCCATCACTGTCAAAATAAAGTTCCTTTAAGTCATTGTAGTGAGGGAATTTAAGATAATTACTTAGCAACTCCAAATAATCAGAAATTTTATTAAAATAATCAGAAATCTTTATATTTTTGGCCAAGTATGTAAAAATAGTGAGATACTTTCTCATGTTGATCCCTTCTTTCATGACAGTGTCGGACTTCCACAGGTTTGTTTTCGTGAAGGGTTTATCTTTTCCAGACAGTTTTTCATCATTTTATTTCACCACTAGATGTCGCTGTTTGCCTAAACGTTCTCAGCATTGGCAAATGTGTCAAACTCCACTGTGATAATATGTGACATTTTTAATGAAACTACAAACTGACCAAACCAAATAAACGGTTGTGTTCTCAGTAAACAAAGTAAGACAACAAACGCAGATCCTCGCTCTTCTGTGCAGCTCACTGGGCTCCTGTAGGGATGAAATCAGCGTTTAAGCTCCACTGAAATTACCCTCCAGTATATTTAATGTCTCTGTTGGAGGTAAAATACCTTGATCCTCAAAGCTCCTTTTGCCCATCAGGCCCACAAAGGTTTTAAATTTATGCCCTGTGAATGAAAACATCCGTTAAAATACCACAGTATCACTTCATATGTCTATATTAAATATGTCAGAATTGATATTTGATGTTGAAAGCAAGCAAATTAATAAAACTCACGTTTATGGGCTTTCTGCGCTCTTGCTGTTTGGAGGAAAGTCATAACATCAGACCTGAACGCAACATTCTTTAACATGAATACAGTTTAAATATAATGTATTACCGGAGTCCTCCTTCCCCATGAGGCTGAGATATTGGGGCATTCCTGGTTTTCTGGTCATTCTCATTAATATATCTTGAATTACTTCAGAGTTTGGCCATTTGTTCTTGTATGAGACAAAAAAAAGAATGCAATTATGAGTCTGTCTTTCAGTGAAGACTTTTCCAAATAAGTTTGATCTGTCTTACCTCTTCGATGTCTTCTCTCCAGTTGTCGCCATCCATTTCTTTACAGAACACATTTGTCAGAAGCAACAAAACTATCAGAACCAGTTTAACTCGCTCCATCATCCACCGTGCGTAAATGTCACCCAGATGCGTTTGTGTAAAAAAAAAAAAGAAGTAAAAGCTGAATACGTTTCTCCTGGATTACAGCTAATGATAAATATGTGTGCGCACTGTGCAGGTATAGTCTCCACCTCGCTGCTGGATTATTGCAGATGCTGATAGAGAGAACAGCGCGTCCTCCCTGATGATGCGCCAAGGGGGTCCATTAACTCCTTTTACGCACAAGAGCTTTTACGCACAGCTGGAGTGGATGATGTGGGTAGACGCTCTGAGAGTCACATATGCTTCGTTTTGACATAATTAGTATGTGTTTCATACTCTGGATCCATAGAAAAACAATACTGGACCTATAGGTACTGAAACGTGTTATGGGCTCACCAACTGTGTAGAATGTTAACATTTCAACTCGAGAAAAAACGTCCTCGCCGTCAGACTATTTCCAGATTATAGTGACAAGTGGGAAAAGGACTTCCAGAATAGCCAAATCTAGGTGGTATACATTTCTCTATTATTTTTAATAGAGGAATATATCTGTTGGTTGCATGTCTGTCTGTCCATTAGGAGGGATCCCTCCTCTGCTGTTCGTCCTGAGGTTTCTTTCATACTTTTCTCCATTAAAGGTTATTTAAGGGGGAGATTTTCCTTTTAATTGATACTCTAATGATGGTGTATGAAGGGTGTGTGCTGTAAAGACTGTAAATCACATTGAGGCAAATTTGTGATATTGGGCTATATAAATAACATTTCACTTGATTGGATGTTTTATGTTTTAGTGTGTAACATCAGATTCTGTAAAGTAACGAACGAATATAGTGGATTAAATGAACAGTGTGTTGAATTGAGCACATTTTGGGTAATTTGTTGTTTTGCCATTAGTTTATATAAATGATGCGTCTGTTAGTGCTTGAGTGCATCTCTGTGTGGTCGTTCTGCATCTATTTTTAGTGGTTTTATATTTGTATTGGTCGTTTTCTGTCTCTTTGTGCTCATTTCAGACCGTGAACGTATCATACACGGTTGCCATAGACTAGACTAGAGTTTACTTTCTGCTATAAACCCAAAATCGGCTTGTTGTCGAGGGAACCAGTGCGACGCAAACTTCCACTTCCGTGGTTGGCCTGCAAAAATACGTCATCCCTTCACTCTATTTGTCGACCAATGAAAAGCCCGTTTGCGCGCGTATGTCCCTCCGGGGCCACCGTACAGAGCAGTACGGCCCGCACCCAACTCAAAAGTCTCTAGATGGAATCAGGAAGTCCACCAAAGCGTAATTTTGAGAGACTTTAACAGCAGTCCGACTTTTTATATTCAGATAAACTCTGAAAAAGAAATGCTCGGCTGTTTGTGGTGAGTTCACGGTCACCCGCCGTGGGCAGGAAACCATGCGTTTATTGTTGTGTTCAAAGCCCTCGATGTTGTGGCTCCTTGCAGTTGTTGTGACAGCTCGTGTGAGCAAAGCTGCTGCGGGGAAACCGAAACTGATCGATTATGGGTCGGCCTGTGAGTCCCGAGACAATGCGGTCAGCTTGAGATCCAGCACAGCCTCCACACCCGACGGCCCGGAGCCGGGGGACCTCGCCGCCGCGTTCAGTGTCCCGACTCTGGACGGGGAGTTCTCCTACCAGCCCGGTGCCCTGCAGGGACCTCTCATCGTGCACGCCTTCTCCAACAAGTCGGGCTTTCTGGAGTGCATGTGGAGCTCCGAGTCGTCCCTCATCAGCCTGGTGGAGGAGCTGCCCAACAGCACGCAGGTGCTCTTTCTGTCCCTGGACGACTCCGCGGTCAGCGATGCTCTGTGGATGAGGGAGCAGCTGCAGCGGGTCGCCATGCACAGGTGACCGGAAGAGAACCACTGCTTTTAAGGCAAAGTGTTGAAAATGCATACCAGTCGAACGGTTAAATTCAACTAAAAATGTTCAGCAACGCGTGGCATCTGCAGTGATAGAAAAACACGTTTATTACACTACAATAAGTACATTTATGTCATACTTTACTATGAGTATTTCCAATTTGTTGCCACTTTATATACTTCTACTCCACCACATCTCAGATGGAAATATTCTATTTTTTACTTCACTACATTTTTTTGACTTTGAAGATTTTTTACATCCAACGCACACAATCAAATATACATTTTTATAGGTACAAATATCCAGCAGTATTTAAAATACTTGACATGAGCTCAACCTTATAGCTACAGAATGAAAATGCTTCTTCAGTCATTCAGCTGCATAACAAGTACTTTTACTTTTGATACTTTGAGTACATTTTTTCTCAAAATACCTCTGTACTTTTGCGTGAGTCAGATTTTGAATGCAGTAATTTTATTTGTAATGAAAGGTCTGAATACGTCCTCACATCACTGGACATACCTGCTGTTCTTTCATCTCTACATACTAAAAAGTACTCAGATCCTTTACTTAAATAGAGATCCTGCATTTAATATCTTACTTGAGGTGTTATCAAAGTATCAACGGTAAAAGTACTCCAGAATTCTGCAGAGAAAATGTCAAGAGTGGTGGAGGAAGTGCTTTTATGTTTTAAAAGAAGCAATATCACATTATAGAAATATTCAGTAACAAGTTAAAGTCATGCATTATTCTACCTTAGTAAAAGTACAAAATGATACTCATCAACATATACTTAAAGTATAAAAATCGAAAGTACTCATTAGAAGAATGAGACATTTCAGAATATTATGTTGTTGGAGTATAAACAGCAGCTTAATGTGTAAGCACAACTCAAAACATCTTGGTAACCACTTTGACAAACCACACGTCGCCCCCTTCATGTTTTCTGCAGGAATAAGGAGGTTCTGTCCAGACTGCATTTCTCCCCGGTGCCGGTCTTCGCTCTGGGTAACTGGATACCCAACGTGCTTTACTACTGGCGCTGCACCGGACGCGGCTGTGTCTTCTCCCAGGCCGTCTTCAAATCCGAGGGTAAGAGCGCCGTCTGTAAAGATGTTGTGGTATCTGATCTTCTCCATATCACGCAGCCCTAATTTAAGCTGCATTAGACATGTCTTTTTTAATGAGGAGATCACTCTTATCATCTTAGCATCCCAACTGCTCTAAACTTCAGTGTACATTTGTCTATTTTCCAGCTGAGCATATTCTTTTTTTTCTGCACACACTAAGTCACACTGGGGAAAACAACTAAGTTTTTGCTTTTGTCTTAAATTCCCAGATGTACAAACAATTTATAAAAAAGTGATTTTTAGCTGTACATTTTTATGAAAAAACAAAAATCCTCTCTTTCCCTGTAAAATATGATTTTCTTATGGGTCATTGCTCCTCTCAGCTGACGTCAAGTCTCACAGCGACACCCTGTTTTATGTGGAAACAACGTCACGTTTTTTTAAGAGTCGAATTTAAACTGTATCATCATAAGCTTTGTTCTGTCCTCACAGGATGGAAAATGCCCATAATCATCAAGAGACTAGACGCCCGGTACGACTGGCTATCGACGCGCGGGGATCCGAGGTCGTACCAGCTGGTGGATGCAGGTGACGGGTGTGAACCTTCCCCCTCGGTGGCGGGTGCTCTGGCCTGGGTGTCCGAGGGCAACTGCTCTTTCTTCACCAAGGTCTGTTTGTGTGAATGCTGAGGAGGTGTGACGCTTCCTGCTCGGATCGCTACCTCCAGACCGTAAAAACAGGTCTGCGAAGACATTCGGCGCAGTGATAACCAGCCAGGACCGTGTGGTCTGTTTGAGCGTGCTCCATATTTAATCACACAACCTGATTTTTGCTTTTTTGTTTCAAAGCGTGATCGTTAAAGGTTTCTACCTCTAGCAGCGCTTTGAAGCAACTTTTCTATGAGAGGCGTCGTGTTAGAAATCACAACGTACTGAATACGACACACTCAGTCAGTATTTACTGCACACAGACCGTTCACACTGAACTGTATCGATCACAACGCCACTGGTCTGAGCTACCGTTGTACGAAAAGTAGTTTATCACGAATGTGAATCAACATTACCTCTTACATAGTATTATTTTAATGCAAAATAAATACATATTTTTGTGTTAAATATGTTTTCTGCAGTAGCAGAGCTCTAGTGTTTATTGCTGTTAACTGTACCTTAATGTCACTCAACGGTTTCTCTGTTTTATATCATTATTTGAATATCTTTGGATTTTGGACAAAACAAGCAATTTGAGGAAATGTCCTGTGACTCGTGGCAATAAGAATCTGCATTCCTCACAGTTTTCTTAGATTTTGAACTGAACCATAAATCAATTTACTCGAAAGAATAATCAACCGATAAAGTGACAGTGAAAATAATCATTTATTGGAATAATACTGCTTTTTTCCCTGTTTGTAACCGGCCACGTTTCACTCCAGACTTTGTTTTTAAACACACAGGAAGTATTGACTTTAGTGTAATCTGTATTCATCAACCCTAATCCTCCAGGTGCAGAACATGGCCGAATCCAACGCCTCCGCCGTCCTTGTCTACGCTCTCCCCGGTAACCCGATCCAGGACATGAACTGTGTCGGGGACGAATGCGACACAACGCTGGCCATCCCGGCCGCCATGGTGCACCTGGAGGTTTCGGTCGCTCAGGCGCTCGAGTAAGACAGACCGACCCGAAGGATTAAAAGCCTCCTCACTGTGATGATTAACATCCTTGTACATGGATCAACTGAACACTTTAAAGGTCAAAGTAATGGTCCTCTTAAGTCTGTTCGCTTCCTCTCTTCTGAAGCTGGTCACAACTTTCGGGTGATGTTTCCAAAATATGACACAAGCTCTTCAGGGGGACATTTTTAAATCAAAAGAACAGAGTATCTGATTGTAAAAGTTATTTGAAGTTATTGGTTAATTTAAGCTCATTAGAATGACTGTAAAGCGTTCAATTAAACACCATCGTATATATGACATTTGTTGCCCGTCTCATTGCGGTGTGATGCGTCTGGATTTTGTTTTGTAGGTTTGGACAGCCGGTGTACGTGTCCTTCCAGAACACTCCGTCCCCAAACTTCTTCATGGGTATTGACCATCAGGGGGCGCTGGCTGAGATGGGCTGGTTTATTTACCCCTCGTTCAGCTTCATCAACTGGCAGGCGCAGTGGTGAGGACGCACTCTGCAGAAGAGTTCATTTCATCTATTTATTTATTCACTTGACTCATCAGAGTAGTAGATCTGAAACAGCCAACTTGGAAAAAAACTATTTAATAGAACAGAGTGAGTCCTATGATAGTGAAATTAAGAGCATCGAGAAAAGAAGCATTATTCGTGTACGCGTATTCTCTCGTCATACAGAGTGCAATGCAGTCTGAGGGAGGAAGAACCCAGAGTGTTGGTTGTGTATGACTCATAAAGGCCCTGAGCACAGGGTGGGGTAGGAGGAGTCACCACTAAGACATCTGGACAACAGTGACCATTCTGTGATTAACTATTGATTGGTCCACTGTCTGCACCCCCATTCAGCCCCTTATCTAAGCTGACAACATCAAGTCCCTGATTAAGACACATGCCCAGTATTAACCTGAGAGGACCCTCACTCACCATGTCTGACATTTATTACCTTGTTTATAATTGGGGGCCCTAAAGCCTTGAAGTTTTACCACACTCTGCTGTCAATACATCACATACATCAAAACCGTTTCCTGTTTTCCAAAGTGCAAACTACCAACAAAAAAGGTTTCTTTTTGTTTTCCACAGTTACTGCGGTTGTTTCACCGTCGAAGCCTTTTCCGCTACTGCAAAGAACTTCCATTGATGCTCTTTGGTATCTGTGGAGAGCTACCGATAGCTACTGGGGAAAACAAAAGAGCTATCTCCCTTCTGTTCTGGTTGTGCAATTGCATCTTAACCTGGTGGCAGACAGGATTGCTATAGGGAACAAATCTAAACTCAAATACTGTGATTATTCTATAGCTATTGTGCAACATTTACTGCGTTAAAGCAAAAATAATGTCCGTTGCCACTTTAAATTTAAATTCAATTTGAACTGTAGACATACTGAAAACACTTGCACATCAATTTTGATGTAGATATCAACCTCTTCACATAGGTATTGTACCAGTTTTAATGTGTGAAAAGTGTATTTTTGACTTTGTTCTCTGTCTCCAAGGTTTGACTTCTATGCAGCTCTGCAGACCAAACTTCAAAGTCCTGCAAAGGTCGTTTCTGTTTTTGACAAAGTCCAAATGCAGGGAGAGAAAGGAGCGGTGGCCACAGTCGACCTGCCGATAGGTAACGTCATCACCAACACGTGTGAGATGGGCGGGTTTAGTGGATTTTGCACTTAGTGGCCATTTCATAGCAAACAAAAAGTATTCTATGATTATCATCATTATCATATGACCAAATGATAGAAGATTAGAGCGACTGGAAAAACTCAATTGGGTTGAGTCTCAACTTTCTTTTAGGAACTTGATTATTTGGCTCAATCCATCTCGAAAATCCATTTTAATATTGGATCACAGTTTAAATTGGAGTTTAAAGTTCTGGTGCAACATAATTAGATTTTTCTAGGTTTAGAGTAAAAATAATGGTTTAAGTTTAATCTTTCTTAATCTTTTGCTAGTTTAGAGTTTGGTGCAACATGATAAACTTGATACTAGATAAACCCAGCCTTAATGCCCAAAAGAAAAAGTCCTGAAACTGGATTCAGGCTAAAACTCTCTTCTCTGAAACCCGGACATCATCGTTCTTTAGATGAGGAGCATCAGTGTGAACTCTGACGGGAACACGAGCTTTGTCAATCACTTAAATGACACTAACGTTTGAACACGCCGTCTCTCTGCAGCCCTGTCGGACTTCGACGTGCTGGAGCTGGATGCGTCGCTGTCGTGCCCCGGCAGGAGAGACTCGTCCTGCGCTCACTGGGATCACACGGTGCAGCTGTTTGTCTGCTGCGACCCTCTCGGCCCGTACTGCAACACGGAGCTGGGCCGATGGATCACTGCCTTCCGCAGGTGAGATGGCGACATAAAACACAACAGATAATCCTAATAATTACTACTCGTATCAATAATTCATGACTTTTGTGGAATAAATTCATCTGTATGTACTGACTGTGGGTCTGAAAAATCCTAATCTATTTAAATTGAAGGTTTTAATCTGATCTGAGATATATAATAAGTCAGTTTAGCTACTTTCTATTGATACATTCTTAAGCACAATAGTATATTGAGCTATATATACCATTAACTTACTCTTCACTTCCTTTGGAACAAGTCAATATTGTGGTCAACTGACTTTAAACTGTGTTGTGATTTAATCATTTTAGTGATATTGTTCTCCAAAATATTGTTGTTAAAAGGATTCTGATGAAATTCTGAAAAGACAACTATCAAAATCAAAGAAAGAAAGAAAATTAATTATTATTACATTTTTCGGCAGAGGTATTGGGCGCTGGCTGACAGACGTGTCCCCTCTGATCCCCCTGCTGGACAGCAACAAATGCACCCTCACCATGAAGACGGTGCCCTGGGCGATGCCGTGGGTCGTCTCCCTCAACCTGAGATTCAGCGTCGGCAACCGGACAGGTACAAACACTGAGCCTGCGTTCTAAATGACACCCGACATGATGTTTGTGGCTGAGCGGGTGGTGGAGTGGGGCCGCACTGCTTCAGGTTAAAGCTACAGGTGTGTTCCAGTAGCCTGAAAACAAGGGGAAGTTAGTGATTGTAGTTTGAACCACTGATTTTGCTCGCTTATAAACACATTCACCGTGGCAATTAAGGTTATTTGAAAAACTTGGGCCTGATTGCCAAAAATGATACACATATTCAGTGAGACATCTTAATGTTTTGAGCAAAGGTGCTGAGATAAAGCAGCATTTCAGCAGCTACAACATGGAGCTAAACCGATGTGCATCACAGGAGTGTTTGTAGCACCCTTGCTGTCAAAGCTAACACCGGCTGGTTGGGTTTTCATGCTCCGGTCTGAACTCTCCCACTGTGAGAACGGAGAGCTGCGACTGGAACAACGTGATCCCAGAACATTAGGTCTCCATTTTAGGAGAAATGTTTCAAAAGCAGAGAGCAGGAAGGAACAGTCTGTCTGTAAATAGTTACTGGAAGATGACACTCGGCAAAGATGAAGCTTTTAGTTCCTGGAAATACTTTAACTAGGAAATGAAAAATACAGTCTTTATGACTATGACTCAGAGGATTGTTTTGAAATAGACTGGAGCCTCTCTGGTATGATTACAGACCGGATAGCAGTTATTTTTAGGTTTTATGAAGATATTGTTATACCAATTTTGTCTGTATGCACATGTTTTGCCAAATAATATTACAGCACTTGATGTTCACACACGAAACTCTCCCAAGAAACTTTAATGACTTGATTCCTCCAAAAACAGAAACACAAAATGAGGATTATAGAAACGTTTTTGATGACATTAGTTAGTAGTTACTTTACAGATTCATAATAATGATACAATATATTATAAACAAATAAATTATGATCTATTATTATCGATAAAGATAAGACTTGACAAAACTTTAACAAATCCATTTGTTTGAAGGATATCAAGACATCATTAAAACTACTAATTACAAGATTTGTTTTATCAACAGGGGCCGATAAAATCAACACAAAATAAAGTTCCTTCCTTTAGCTTTAAATGCATGAATACAATGTGTTCACCCGTCAAATTCCCATTTCCAGATGATATCCCAGGTCGATGAATATCACTGATTGTCTCAATCATTTTGGAAAGTTGTGAAGCAATCAGTGTAATTGCTGTAATATAAGATATAAATACTGCGGTGACATGGCGTATTGCTGCACGACGGTTGTTGCCGTGCTTCACCGTAAAGAACCATTGATCAGCAGGCTCTTATATATGCATCATGTGGTGCTTTGCATTCACCATGTATGTTTTAATGTGGGTGCGTAGAGGGCAGGATCAGAGGCTGGTCCACCTGTGCAAACATCTTCATCAGCTACAAAGCCCTCTGCGTTGCAGATTATAAAGTCGAGAAGCTCCACCCCTTCAGAGTGATGCCACTGTACAGCGGGGGAACCTTCGACAAGAACTACAACAAGAGATTCCAGCCAACCAAAGTGTCCGTCCCAGCATCAACCAAAAAGGTAAACGATGTGACGGCGATCACTAATCATTTAGAGAGCGTCCCGTCCGTCAGCAGCTGTGTGTCTGTGCTCAGGTGGAGCTGTACGCCGTCATCACGGCACACGGCTACGATGACAACAGCTGCGGAGAGTTCTGCGTCACCTCCCACTACTTCCTGATCAACAACGCTTTTAACAACACCCTCACCTTCGATTCTGCAGGTGAGAGAAGCATGAAGGAACCTTTGCTGCAGGTAGTTGACCAAACAATCCCGTTTCCAGGTTCATGTAAGAAGCTGCTGCGGAGCTTTTGATCACATCACACCACCTTCCTCAGCAGATGGAGTTTGCTCACTTTAGATGTTTATATTTCAAGTTTTCTGAGCCCTTTAAGGACTTCTCATCTTTGTGGCTATAAGAGTCAAGTGTTCAGAAAACAATACATTTTATCATTTATATAACTGAAAGATCCAGAAATGGACCTTGAGGTGAGATAGTTTTGTCCAATATCAAGAAGGAACTTTGAAACTCAACATTTGAACTTTGTAAGTGACTCAACATTTTTAGTTTTTTAAATCTCGATAGTAAGTTTTGAAAGGCATCATCCCACGTCTTCAAATGTTGTGTTTTGTTCATGATGATATCAAACTTTTCAAGAAATCCTCGCATTTGAGTAGCTTTGACTATTTGTCATTTTTGCTTGACTGTTAAGTTCTTGTCTTCGTTTTCTTGAGCCTGAGGACTGGACGCTGACTCGCTGATTGAAGGGTCATTTATTTTGCTGATCGTTGTATTTTCTCATCTGTTTTGGGGTCGTGGTGTGGGGAACATCAGGAACACCTCTGGGCTGCACTCTGCGGGTGAAAGAGGGCGCGGTACCGAACGAACACGGCACGTGGCTGTACGGACGAGGAGGCTGGTGTGATGGACTACAGGTCGACCCCTGGAGGACGGATCTCACCAAACAGGTACTAAACTTTATCATTTGGTTCTAATTGTGTTATCGATCTCGAACATTTTTCATTTTGTCCACAATAGCTGTTGTTCAATTTAACTTGCACGGCAGCTGGATTAAGTGATGGACGATACAGGATTATATAACAGATTGTAATAAAAACACTCACAATAATTTGATTGGGGTGAATTTCCATTATCAGGATAACCGTTTATATCGTCCAGAGTGACGAAAAAGCTCTATCTCCTTATCATGATAGAGAAGTTAAAAATAGACACTTGTAGTGGGTCATAAGTGATGTTTGAGAGGGATTGTTTTTGGATGAGTCTATATATTTTAGGAAAATGCTGCATAGCATGAAATACAGGAATTATTACGTAAGAAAGAACAGAATCACTTCTGAATCTGAATTACGTGCTTTAGCGTCTTTCAGCTCATTGTTTTGGTTTTATGGTTCGCTAATTTACTGCTTTGGCTCTAAAAAAAAAAAAACGACTTCACATTTCCTGCTCAGCACCAAACAGAGAGCAGACACAGTTAGGGACTAGATGGTGAACACAGCGGAGCATTTAGCAGCCAAAAAGCCAGATATTATATTTTATTTTATTTTTAGATGGTTTTAGAGACCAAAAGCAAAGAGGACTGAATATTAGACTTGCATTCATCTGGTAGCCAGAGACAGGGATTTTGATTAATGGTAATGTTGCTTGTTATGTAAATAGGCAACATGTTCACATCAACATCACAAGAGAATAATATCACCAGTCTGAGGTTTTCTGTGTGAGACACCCACACATGATCAGGGTCATTGAGGAGTTTGAAGCCTCTCTTCCTCCAGTAGATTAAGAAGAACCAGGCACTGAAATAAAGGTCACACTGAAGTTAAAAATTTGAGTGAAATAAGCCATTTAGAATTAAGGAGCGCTAAATTATTCTGAAGTGAGTTATTAACCATAAAAGGCTCCTGATCATAATCACGTGAACTGATGACATGTTTCCTGTCCGGAGTGCTCTCATGTTCTCAGCACAGTCCTGAGATCAGATTCCCTGGAGGATTTATCTGGAACAATACACAACTACATGTTACACATGAATGTCAGATTTGATAAGTTTCTACATTTTGTGCCACAGTTTAGACAATCTGCATCTCAGTTGTTTCAAAGTTTCTTTAATTATTTTAATTGTCATCTGGAAGTTTAGATAACCTGATTTGGTTTAGTTTTGGGGGAAGATTTGTACCAGGAGGCAACCTGTGTTTCTGAAAAGTGAAGCCGATGCTGAAGTGTCTTAAACTTGCATTCTCTCTAATGTCCACCAGGGGGCGACTCCTCTGGTTGTATAGAAGTCTATGAGAAAATGACTCTACTTCTCTCTTGATTTATTACCTCAGTAAACATTGTAAACATGAGTTTATGGTCTCAATCTCTAGTTTCAAGTCTTCTTCAATACAGCATGATGTTCATTTAGTACATTATGGTCCATTTAGAGTCAAACAGACCATAAAGCAGAGTATGCTTTAGGGCGGGGCTTACTGTGATTGATCGCTAAATATGGTCACTTCTGTTCACGGGTTGCAAAAAAAACAAGATGGCGACGGCCAATCTGTCAAACTCAAGGCTTCAAAACAAATGTGCGATGTCATGACTACTACGTCCGCTTCTTATATACAGTCTGTGATTTGAACTCTTGTCGATCACAACCACCTGAGTGATGTGTGCTGATGGATACGATGTGAGATTTAAATGGTGCTTGTTTATTTTATTTACTGTGTTTGTGGATTTCTGTCTGTTCCTGTCCCCTTTCAGCTGAACATGACCGAGCTTGAATCCAACACTGTTGTCTACTTCGGCTTATTCCAAGGGAAGGATCCGAATCCATCGAAGGATCCTGGATACATCATCATGTCTTCTTTTCTTGTCTTTTACAAATGATGCCCCTCTGTGACACTCCACCTTTTTAATTGTGACGTAAATGAATATAGAATCAAGATTAAATTTCTATTTTTCCTACTGCTTTCACCGACTCTTTCTATTACTCTCTCTCCTGTTTCATTAACGTAGGCCGGACGTAACCTTTAGGCTTGTAAATGATAAAAACAGTGCAGATGGATAAAGTATCAGCTGCCACGCTCGAACGCCCAGCACGACCAACCGTTTGCATTGTTCTCAAGAGGTTACCCTGAAATCAACAAGAAGAAGCTTTGCAGCAAATTAGGCACTGCCTCAAGCTGGAGATGCATTGTTCTGAGAGCCGCGGCCTCTCCTCACTAATTACATGTAATCACGTCCAGCTTAAAGCTTTGAAGTGGAGAAAGTGTTTCTCAGTGAGTCATCTTCCTTCTTATGGGAGGTGATTCCTCTTAACTTCAACAACAGAAGATGTGCTTCTCGCTGGTATTTTATTCTTTTCTTTGTTTTAGACATTTGTGCAGTGAGGATGGGCCACTACAATAGTCACTACAATACCAGCTATTCATTACCAGCGGGGACAGTGTGTATTGTTTTCACCTTGTGAGTCTGTGTGTGTGTGTGTGTGACATCGTGGTGTTTATACGTCTGTCCGGGGGAAGATTTTGTTACTGTGCAAGATGCAGTCAAATGTAGGGGGCTACGAATTAAGGAAGGACCAACTGAAAGCCTCAAAACATGTATTCACAAATATGAAAAGTGCGAGAGACAATTTTCTGCCTAAATGACGTAACAGGTTGCCGATTACCACCAGGTATTTCTCACACACACACACACACACTGGCACCTGGCTTGATTTGATTTCAGTGATCCGTTCGCGAGATGGTTTCTGCTCCGTACAATAATGACATTCAACCTCTAATGCATGACATTTGTTTGCGTAGTTGTTTTCCTTTAATGACATTTCACAGTATTACAAAACATAAAAAAAACTTAAGACATTAAGTAAAAAAAATACATCATTGCATCATACAAAAGGGTTACTTTTTCTTAAAGGTTAGTGGTTACAAAGTTCGTTTTATTTCTTAAAGGAACTTTTCCACAGTGTGTGAGTAACATCACAGGCATCATTTTCTCTGCTTTAGCTTAGTTTGGTTCACAATATTAATACACAAATCCCTCTGGCCAACAGGAATAAAACATATTAATAGTACTTGGCCCACTGAACAATTTTGGTGCAATGATGCCCGTTATATAACATTAGCTGTTTATTTTCCCTATCCGTGTCGAAGCACCAATGCGCTGATGTTGAGGTGAACATCATGGCAAAGTCGCAGCAGAATGTTTTGTTCGTGACTGAAGGGTCCATGTGCGTGTTAGACCTTCGCGCATGTTTCTCTGCAGCTCCTCTCGGTCTCAAACTGGTTGTTGTTTCCCTGACAGCCTCCGAACCAGAACTGAGCGCAGGAATTCGCTGTGGCGTCGTAGTACCACTTCACCACGTAGTCCCGGCACGGTCCTAGATCCAGCACCTGGATGCAGCGCTCCGCTGGAGACGACAAAAAACAAGAAGTGTTACATTTTAAGAAGACTAAGAAGTCTCCGGCCAGTTTAGCGTGTTAATTTTCACTAAATACAAAGTATAACTAAGAGTGATGGAATTGTCATTAGTTCCACAGGTATCAGGAAAAACTAAAATTTCGACCTGATTATGATGCTACAGGAGAAGTCGGGATTACCAAAGTTATTACAGTTCATCCTGATGGGAACATGAATGTGTGCACCAAATATCATGGAGGTCCATTAGAACATATTCAGTGCTTGTTTTTTTTCCCCTGAATTGAGACATTTAACATTTAAACCAATAATTTCTCCATCCAACAATCTCTTCAGCGGTTACCTACCTGCGTAGGTGTCAGAAGGCAGCAGTGGAGGAGGCGTCGGCGGCTGTGTCTTCTCCTCAGACGGGGCCCTCGGAGTGGGACTCGCGGGCCCGACTGTTCCCGTCATCACCACGTGGTGGTTGTTGTCCTTCGTGTCAAACCGTGGGAGGAGCTCTGTGACCGGTCTGAAGGGCTCCCTGTCGAAGTATGGGAATCTGGGAGTCTCTGAGTCGATTCTGTCGTCAGTCTCGGGTCTCGGTGGAGTGATGGGTTCTCTGGCGGGTTGCGACGCTGGAGGGCCGGGCTGTAACAGAGCACAGACTGTTTAAGTCTACTGTACCTTTTATTTATCCAGGTAAGATCGATATAACCAGTGATACGTTAAACTCTTGTAACACAGCGTAAGTTCCCAAAAGGAGGTAAAGAAATGACTGGTTTGTTCTTCTCACCAACATCTGAACCCTCCTGAAGTCCCCTGTGAAGGTGGGGGTGTCGGTATCGGTCCTGTACGGAAGCTTTCGAACGTTACCGGAGACCTCTGGGGTTCCTGGAGACAGTCTGGAGCTCGGGACGGAGCTGAACAAACGTCTCGCTCCGTCCTCGCAGATACGACTTAGCAGTTTCCCCTCCAGAGCTGCAACGTGAGAAGACCAAAACAGTAAATATGCAGTTACTACAGTATATACCTGTACAGCCACAGTTTGAATGGAAGCAGTTTGGGTTGTCTTGCTCATGAGCACCATGGCAGTAGATGTTCTAGAACAGCGGTTCCCGACCTGGGGTCCGGGCCCCCCTCAGGGGTGCTCCAGGATTTGTCTGCTCTGAGGTTGTCCAAATAAGATTTCCAAATGAACTAAAATCATAATGACACACTTTCTGGATAATTTATACAAAAGTCTGTATCTTAAACTATTTTAAAACTTTTTTGTTGTTGTCCTCACTCAAAAATAGTGAGCTACATAGTCTGTTAAAAGACGGTATTTGTGTCCGATAAATAAAACATTTTTTAACCTTAATTTAACCAAGCGAGGATTTGTGTTATATTATATTATTAGTTTTATACTTTATACTATTTGTAGAATAAGACTTCAGTTATGGCTGCATAGTATTCTTTCCGACTTGTTTGATCCAAACATTTTCAATAACTCCGAGTCCAAAAGTAAAATCCGTCAAGACGGCATTACTGTGTTTATGTTGACGAAACTGGGGATTTTCATAAAATTTTCCTAAACTTAAAATAAATTGCTTGTATGGTTCTGATGGGATCATGATGAATGGCTCACCGGGAAGTGCTTTGAATTCCTCGATCTGGAACACGTGGTCGCTGTCGGGGTCAGACGCCATGAGACTGAGCTCCTTCTTGAACTCCTCATACAGAGGATCGCTCTCGTTCACCACGCCGATCACAAACGTCTCGATGTCACTTCCCCGAGCTTCTGACATCGCGCTCTCCAGACTGACCGCGTCTCTTTTATCGGCCTGCCCGTCCGTGAAGACGACGGCCACCTTCCTCACACCTGCCCGCGCCCCCTTGAACACCTGGTTGGCCTGTTGGATGGCGCTGCCCGTGAACGTGCCCTCGCCCAGGTAGGTCATGGAGCGCACCGCAGACTTGATCTCGTCGCGGGTGGCTTCCTGTCTGAGGCTGACCACCACCATGTTGATGTGGCTGTAAAGCACAACACCCACCCGCGTGGTGTCCCGGCTGACCGAGGCTCGGTCGATCAGGGCGTTTACAAAGTCTTTGATCCTGTTGAAGTTGTCCGGGCCGACGCTCTCGGAGCTGTCGATCACAAAAACCAACTCCAAGGGGGTTTGGCGGCAGGTCACTCCACAACCTCATAAAACCCAGCGACAGGTTATAGACAAGAGAATGTACATAACAATAAAACACAAAGTGAGTTTCTGATTACTTACTGCATATGGATCTCACTATTGTGATGATTTCTTCCCTCTGTGAAAGACAGCACAGCTTTTACTGCAAACTGATTTGTCACTGAGTTACAGTAAAGAAAATGAATCTGTGATTAAGACAAAGCTCTAGCTTTAATTTGAGGGCGTTTAAATCCAAAACCGTTGGAGCATGCTAGGATCTTTCTTTCAATGTTAGGATATAGTAGGAATAAGCATCCATTTTCTGATGCTTATTCAAGGCCGTGCAGCAGGGTTAGCTAAGTAGTCCCGCTCTCTCACCGGCAACATTTTCCAGCTCCTCCTGGGGGATCTCCAGGCTTTCCCAAGCCAGGTGAGATAAATTATCCCTCCAGCATGAACTCTGTCTACCCCTGGATCTCCTGCCGGTTGGACGTACCCGGATAACCTCTCGTCTATGAGGCATCCTGATCAGATTCCCTCAACTGGCCCGTTTTGACGTGAAGGAGCAGCAGCTCTACTAGAGCTGCTCTAGTCCCTCAACCTCTACATCTCTAATGCTGAGCCCTGCCACCGCACCATCAAACACCTTTAAACCTGAAAGTGTGACTAGAATGGTCAGAATAATTACCATTTCCCCTAAAGTGGGGGACTATCTATAAAAAGGGCAAAAACTCCTGCACTGTTCATCTGATCTTTAAATTAAAGCTGAAAGACAGCATTTAAACCTTAATAATGAAAAACACACCAACGTCTCAATATTGTTGACTGCTCTGCATGATCGTCAGTGTTACGAGTGATGCACTATACTTACTGTAAGTCCCGGCTCTCCCTTTTGTCCCAGTCTACCCTGTGATTTGAAACAGATCATCATTTATTAGCTGTTCACATATCGAGAGATTCGCTTGAGAGAAGTTGGCGTCTTTAGCTTCTGTACTGTGAATATTCCCAGAGGAAACTAAATATTTTAGTGGTGTACAGTTAGAAGAGGGATTTAAATCAAATCCTTCGCATTTGATTGGACCGCTAAAAAGAGGGTGGAGTTAGAAAGTAGTGGATACGGAGCTACAGAGGACTGAGGCTCCACACAAAGTTGATTGATGGATGGATGTCATGATATTACTGGTTGAAATCGATTGGTTCTAGCTTGCGTAAGCACACGTTATATTTAGTTCTACAAATACAAAAAGTATTTTGAGTGTATTTTTGTGCATGTATTGTTAAATAACTGCACAATATTACGGGGGACGTGATATAAAAGGGTTAAAAATGCAATTTTCATTACAAAAACACTAAAGTACCAAAGGTCCGATGGCTCCGGCCTCTCCTAGTTGTCCTTTGTCTCCACTTTTGCCTTTTTCACCTCTGAACCCTCGATCCCCCTGCAAGAGGAAAGAAACGGCCATCTTAAATCAGATCGTAGATATGCACATACCTGTACTGCTGCCATTACCGTTGATTAATAATAGGTTAATATAGGCATGTTGAATGCAGTTTGTGCTAAAGTTATTCTCCTCTTTTGCTGGAAGCCACTGACATAATTGCATATTTTTAATTTTTGCTAGTTTTACCATAACTTCATATTTAATACAGGTTCACTCTGCGGACATTATATCGTTACCTTGTCCCCATGCAGACCTTGTCCTGGAGGACCTCTGGGGCCGAGGATCCCCTGAAATCCAGTCTCCCCCTGGAAACACGGAGCACAGTCCATGTCAAAGACAACACGATGGATGATGTCAGCACATGTGCCTGGGACTCTAAACTATTTTGTTAATGTTAAAAAAACACACAACATGAGTTTTAGCCATTATGAGATTCAGAAGATATGAAGTAGTTGAGTTGTTAAATGCTGTCTTGTCATTGTTGAAATAACACTGTGCTCAGATTGTATTGTCTAGTTCAGCAGCTGACTGAAATAAGAGCTTTATCACATTTTACCATTTCATTCCAAGTCACTTTAAGCACATTTGTCTTCATGCTGAATCTGTTTTCCCCTCTTATATTTTAGTTTATTGTTCAGCAAGAATTTGACAGGAAAGGAAATGCTTTTACTGCTTCACAAAAGTAGATTAATGTCCCTCCAGTGAGTCCGGTCACGGGACAATTTCCCTTCATAAACCACCTAATACAGCTGGTTATGAACTGCAGCTACTGACATCGTACAACGTTACCTTTTGTCCTTGAATGCCTTCTCCAGGTGACCCTTGTGCACCAGGTGCTCCCCTTTGGCCAAGTGAACCCTGCAGGGAAAGACAACTTCCTGAAGTCTCTCTGGATACCAAAATGAATTTGTAAAAGGCAATTTAGTTCTAGTTTTAAAAACAATCACGTATAAGTCGTTGTTTAGATCAGGACAGATTACCTTTGGACCAATTAGGCCAACTCCAGCTGGCCCAGCAGGTCCAGGAGGTCCAGGCAAGCCTCTGTCTCCCTGAACAGGAAGCAGATTGTAAATTATACCTCATCCTGACTGCCCAATGCTCCGGAGAAGGACAAGCTACCTAGCTAACTACTTTACAGCCTCACTGACGTGTGTTCTCCCCATAACAACGAACGACAATCACCAGTTTCTTTCGTACCGGTCAAATAACCATGGATAACCGTTAAATGTCAGTTCTACTCCTATTCTATTTCTGTGGTTTTTCTTTAGGTGAACTTTCACCTTTGTTCCAGGTAAACCGACGTCATCTGATCCGGTCTCTCCCTTCAGACCAGGAGGCCCCGGAAGTCCCTAAGAAAGACGTCGTGAGAGGATTACATAGTGCGGGGTGTAAAGAGATAAAGGGGGCTGTGGTGTAGGTTCATACTCACTGTAGAGCCGGGGTAACCATCACCTTTAAGTCCAGGTGTCCCAGGAGGCCCTGCAGACCCTCTGTCCCCCTTAAAACCAAAACATGCCTCTATTATACCTGTACCTTTCATGGGATCAGTGAGGAGTAAACTGTAACTCACCTTGGGTCCAGTTAAACCCGTCCCCGGCTCTCCTACAGCTCCAGCTGGACCCGGTAGGCCCAGTTCTCCCTGACAAAAGGAGTAGATCAGTTGTTGCTGTTGAGAGTTACAGCAGCTGTTTGTTTGCACCACATGGGCTCACTGTACCTTGGCACCAGCTACACCCCTCGCTGGTGGTCCAGTTGCACCTGGTGGACCCATATTTCCTGGTTCCCCCTGAAAATACAAACACTTATCAGACTAATAATAGACGAGGCGACAGGGCAGAACTCAGACATCTGCAGTTTCATTGTATGGAACATTGTATTGTTGATAATATTTTGTATTAATAATCTGAATCAAATGCAAAATAACTACAGTAGTAAATACATTCGTGAAATAAATATGGACTAAAAAGTAACGTAAAATTAAAATACTCAAGTACAAGTACCTCAAAATCGTAGTACAGTACTTGAGTAAATGTACTTCGCTACTCTCCTGCACTGCACTTCTATCAGATGTGACAACGTTTCGCTCACAACTTCATTCTAAGATCTAGAAATGTGGCAGCATTATTCCAAGTTAATAACACTTTACTGTGATGAATCTACTGACCTTTGACCCCATCGGCCCCACAGGACCGACTGCACCTGGTTGTCCTCTGGTTCCCCTGTCCCCTCTGTCCCCCTGCCAAAGTAACACAACACTGTCGCTCATATTCCTCTAAATAATCTGTTCAGATGATCATTTCATAGCTCATATGAGGATGTCTGTTACCTTTCCTCCAGGTGTGCCTTTACCAGGAGCACCGTCAGGTCCTCTGGGCCCCGGTAACCCAACGTCACCCTGCCGTCATTTGAAAACAGTCAATGAAGCAGCAGACTGGTAAGACATATTAATACATTTTATATTCATATATATATGAAAAAAGGAGAAAACAAGGTTCAGGTTATGAAGTTACCTTTTGTCCCGAGGCCCCATCCTCTCCTCGCTCACCTGGTATACCTGTTAACCCCTCGGAGCCCGGGTCGCCCTGAGAGAGGACAGTTCATCAGAGAGTGAAGTAAACCACTGAACTGCAACGGAGCTAAAGTGTGTGATCTGCAATTTCAGACGTTTGCTCAGCTGAGGATCTCTACTCTCTACTGCTTAGCTTAGCATAAAGACTGGAAGTAGGGGGAAAAGCTAGCCAGGGTTTCTCAAATGTAAGAAAAATAAATAAATACACCTACCAGCAGCTTAGTATTTATGTGTTGCTAAGCTAACTAGCTTCACACTCAGCACACAGACATGAAAGTGGTATCAATCTCCTCGTCTAACTCTTGGCCAGAAAGTAAATAAGCGTATTTCATTTAAAGGGAACTCTACTGCAGAGTGATGAGTGAATAGTGCCGTAGTGTTTAGAGGACTCACTTTAGGTCCTGGCTCTCCGACACCTCTCTCACCGGTCAGTCCGGGCTCACCTGTGAGGCCCTGGATCCCCTGAAAACAACATTCACACAGTGAGCGAGATATTCTGTGGACTCTATAGGACAGAGCAAATAAACAATTCACTTTCAATGATCCACGGCTAAATGTGAAATAAACACGTCTCAGATCATAAATCCAGCAATAGCAGCCTCTCAGTTATGAGACCGATTCAGACTCCCGGGGATTTGATTGACAGGCCAGCTGTGTTTCTCAGGCGTATTAGTGTGATGAAATATGCAAAATAATTTAGATGCAATCAGACGGAGAATCAGCCGACTGTCAATCATAATTATGATCTGACTTGGTGTCTCTGAGGCAAACATCCTGTTAGTTATCTTCTTACCTTTGGTCCTGTTATTCCAATACCTTGAGCTCCTCTGGGGCCTGCAGCACCAACTGGGCCTTGATCCCCCTAAACGACAGAAAACGCATCAATCAGAATGAGGTCAGCAGGTTTGACACGCTGAAAAACTTTCTGTACGTTAAGTTTGGTTATTCAGAAAGTATTCAGATCCTTTACTTCAGTAAAAGTACTTAAAGAACCCTGTAAAAATACTGCATTCAAAACATTACTTAAGTAAAAGCATGTAAGAATTATCAGCAAAATGTACTTAAAGTATCAGAAGTAAAAGTATTGATAGTGTTTTACTGTTATTTATGAAGTTTCTGGATTAATAATACTGCTACATTCATGCTTATGCTGCATTGTACTGCTGTAGTTTAAGGTTGTGCTCATTTAAACTATTTTGTGCTGTTGGCAGTGGTGCAATGTAACTTATAACAAAACATCATATTTTATAAGCTTACACAATGTTTTATAGGCAAGTAACTCGTAACTAAAGCTGTGAAATAATTGTAGTGAAGTAGGAAGTGCGATATGTTCCTGTGAAATGTAGAATTAGAAGATGGCATGAAAAGAAAAGACTGTACAAGCACATGTACAGTCTTTGAGTAAATGTACTGAGTAACTTCCCAGTCAGTCAGCACCTGCATCAGTGATTAATGCAGCTTTTACCTTTTCCCCTTGAAGTCCTGAACCAGGAGCACCGACTGGACCAGGAGAGCCAGGCGGCCCGTGACCTCCCTGAATAAAGAAATACGGCGATCACAGAAATCAAAGAGCCACCTCTGTATCAGAGTACATGAGACGTGGGTGATTACTAGTGAAGGTTGTGGTATCAGCAGACAGTTTCCTCAGGTTGAGTAAACATCTAAGATAATAAGGCTGAGCGGTATGACCTCGGAGTTATATCACGGTATCATTTTTATTGTCATCTATTGTGATTTGCAGAAAACACATGATTCAAATGAATACCTTTTTATACCTTCCACCCCTGTTAGATATGTATACATTTTGAGTTTAATTTACCTGGTCACCTTTGACCCCAGCACCAGTAAGTCCTCGATTGCCTCTGGGACCTTCGTACCCTCGATCGCCCTGAAACAAAAGGTGCAAAGAGAGACGCACTTTGGACGTCATCACGCAGAAGCGTCACACACGTGCAGCATGTTTCACATGTGAAGTTTTGTGAAGGCCAGTGATGTACATTCCTGAGTAAACACACAATGATTTGTAGCAATCAGTGAAACATGTTCTGCTTGTGATCAGTCTGCTTTTTGCACCTGCAGTGAATATTATCAGATAACTCCGCACCTTGGAGCTACGCTTTTGTGTCAGCTGTATAAGCAAGCGGCTCCAGACTTCTGCTCTGTGTATTTCAACCCTTCTTCTTTAAGTAAATATTGATGTAATATTCATTTTAACAGGGACGAGTACATAACATGGACCGATGACACATAGCCTGAGCTAGTCTGCAGGGCCTTCATACAAATACATACAACACACATACACAACAATACAAACAATGATACGATAACAACACTGTAAAACATTATGGAAAACAAGGATAATTGCAGGACCCATGGAAAGCATTGTATATTTATAACAATAAGTACTGACTATAACCTTTTACATTTGTTTAGAATCAGAATTAGATTATTTGCCACGGAGGTTTTCACATACAAGGGATTTGCCTTCGGGTCGTGACGCACAACGGTCACAATAAACAAAGTATAACTTATTTTTGTTTGAGTTTTGTTCTTCAAATTGCAGCAACTAATAAGTATGACAAGTTCAAGATCAATATATTCTTAATTAACTGTCGCACAGTATTGAGAGCCACCTCCTTTAGCCGACACGGGGTTTAAAACTTGACCCACCTTCGGCCCTGGAAACCCCTCTCCAGGTGGTCCGGGGACTCCTTGCACTCCTGGTGATCCTGGGGGACTCTGGATCAAACAAAAGACTTGTAATAAAAGTCTGCACACGTGAAGACATGAAATAGTAAAGAGGCAGCTATAAGACGACGTGGTTCTACATAAGACGGAATAAAGGTGCAACATTGCATGTTGTGTGCTGCAGGTGGCAGCAGCGCTGTGAAAACTCTTCAAAACTTCAATTCCCTGGAATCCTGGAATGGGACGGGAGTAAAGTGAACATGCTCATGTTTGACAACTTGGCCGGTATTATATGATGCATAAAAACAAAGGAAAACAGATGGAAAAATCATCTTGCATATGGGATTCAGCTTTCTCTGGATTCCCACTCACTGCTCACCCCACTCAAAAGGTTTCTCATCTTTATCCCTAAAAAGTATTGTACTTAAGTACAATTTTGAGGTATTTTACTTGAGTAATTCTATTTTCTGCTACTTTATAAATCTACTCCACTTGTACTTTTTCCACCACTATATATATTTAAAAACTACAGTTACTAGTTTGCAGAATGATGATTTTACATACAATACATATTCTCACCGTATAAAGAACGATACGTTGCTCTAGGTGTAATAGCTACTATATAGATATAATGTTATGCATATAAACTATCCAGCAGTGTATACTGTAGTGAATAATGAGCTCCACCTCAACTAGCTGTGATAATAAAATCCTGCAAATGTGTCAATGCATCAATAATAATAATCCAATTATTAACATTCTCAGAGGGGATGTTCTGCAAGTACTTTTACTTTTGATACTTTAAGTTAATTTAGGAGGTAATACTTCAGCTCTTTTACTTAACATTTTGAATGCAAGACTTTTACTTGTATTTGAGAGTATTTTCACAGATATGTAAAGACATGAGTACTTCTGCCACCACTCAAGACCTTGATGCATTAATACAAGACAAGAACATGTTTTCACACTCACTGGTAGTCCTGGTTCTCCTATACCAACAGGACCTGTGGGACCGGATCTTCCCTGGATGCCTTTTTCACCCTGTAAGCATCGAACAGCACCATTCAAACACTTTAACACCTTCCAACATTTTCCAGTAACTCCTTAGAGAGTTCTAATATTTATTCTATCTCTGGAAGGGGTTCGTTAGTTTCTCACTATCAGAGAAAATAACTTGATTAAAGGGGCTATCTTATCAAACAATCTTCTTCCTACAATGTTCTGTAACTGAGCGGGACAGGTGTGGTTATTCACAGCGAAATGATACTAATGTGATACTGTAACAGATTAAAAAAGATTAGGACCTGAATAACACATTTAAATACTAATTGTTTTTCAGCTGAAAGGGGTTTTAGTTACTCTTTAAGTAATTATACTTGTCTGTATTATTGACAAAATATGATGTACATCACAAATCAGTACCTTGAGAATACATTTAGGCACATTTTAGGAAGATTATATGACTGTTTTTTTTTGTTAGTATAAAAGAGTTACCTTGGCTCCTGGGAACCTGATACCAATGTCCCCCGGTGGTCCAGAAGCACCGTTGGGTCCTCTGTCCCCCTGCAGCAAGTAAACAAGTTCAGAGGTTTGTATGTCATGTGATGGCAGTTCAACACTGAAAAAAAAGATGTTAAATTAAATGAGAAATAGTGTCTATGTAGTCCCTCTTTATGCACTAACATGTAATGTGTTGTTGTTTTTTAAGATTAATTAAAACAAGTCTTCATTCCTGCAGGTCGCTTTGATAATTCACTAATATCAGTGCAATCTTTTCTACGCAAAATAACCACCAAGTACAACCTATTTTCATCCCTAATTAATGCCAATATATAAATGTTAACAGCTTTTTACAGAAGTCACTGCAACATTCTCTGCAATATTTCTTTCTATCTTCTTAGTTAAATTTAAATAATCTGTGCTCTCCTCTTTCCTGAAATGCTTGAAAAATAGATTTAACAGATGCTGTGCAACTAATGAATGAAGTTTGTGCCATTTACAGTATTATCTTACTGATATCTGGTAGAAAATACTATTTAAAATATCACATATTATACTGTGAGGCCAAATGGCCTGTCGTCTTGTTTCAACCTTTTGTGACATCTAGGAAATAAAGACCAGTGTGTTCCTTCGGTAAAACTTGATTAATATCTGGAATTGTTTCCTGGAAGTGCTATAAATCACGTTACATTTCATCTGTATAAAGACATCTTTGTTAAAAAGCTGTGGGAAACCTCTGTGGTGATGAAGGCATCAGCATCTTATTAACCCTGGGCACCGGTTTTAAAGGTCGTTTTTATGTTGCCCCCACATGTTGTGTGGAGAAGTGTCTGCAGGGCGCTGCATGTGAATGCTATTCCACTATTCAGAGGGAAAATAACCCCACATTTCTAATTGATCTTAGATAACTATATTCTTTAGTTGACCAAATAATCATAACTGTACAGACAGACTGCTCTGTGTCTTTGGGATGTTGATGGATGGAATTTCTCATCCCAAAAGATTGTGTTCATACTAAACAAACAAGGTACAAGGTGTTTTAATGTGTGTGTGTTTTTTTTTTTACTTTGGACAGAGCCAGGCTAGTTGTTTCCCCCTACTTCCAGTCTTTATGCTAAGCTAAGCTAAATGAATTGCCTGGCTCTAGCTCCATACTTAATGCACAGACATGAGGCCAATCCAGCCAAACTGTTGCTGCTGGAAACTTTCAGTGCAGAAAAGACTCATTTAAATGGAGGTTTTGGGAGAACTTACTTTAGGTCCTGCTGGGCCCTCAGGTCCCATGTCTCCTGGAGGTCCTATTGCAGCCTGCAAAACAAATAAAAATCTTACACAATGCAACACTCAAGTTTGCTTTAATCAAACCCATAATTGTGCCGTACCTACTATTTGTACCCCTGATTTCTTTTAATTTTGCGACCAAACTTTGATCATGTATGAGTCTAAAACGAAGCCCCCACGTTGTATGACCAAGCTGCAGGTCAAAACCAACCCACCATCTCTGAAATGACTAAAACCAACACTCGCGCCTTTCATGTCGTTCGATTCTCAGGCCAAGCTCACAAAATAACACGGTTATACTGACACTGTGCCAGTAGCACCAGGGGAGGAAGAGTGGTGCTGAGCGGCCAGGTCCACGCACTAATCCCATCACACAAAGTCTGTTCCTGCAGAAGAATAATATCCTGCAAGCCTGGATTCACTGCTTTGGATAGCCACATTAGTATCAGGATTACCCATAATCCAATATTCACATTCCATTAGTGCAGAGATGAAAAGGAGAGAAATTCCACTTCCATTTTTCATATTGGAGAGAGAACAGACTGTCTGTCTGTGTATCAATATCAACAGCAGGCAGTAAACCGTATGTTCAGGAGCATGAAGGATGAAATCATGAAACGGCTGCTTAAGGGGAGACCCCGGGGTGAATAGGGTCAAATATTTAACTGATACATATCACCATGAAATCCCCACAGAGGTTATACATTAAGACAATTATCACAAGTATTTTGAAAATAGGCAAATGAGGCATTATCTTATTAAATATGTGCTAATTCTTATTAATTTGGAGATTTGTGGCTCAGAGTCTGAGAACATGTTCACATGTATAATGTTCAATATGTTCACTGTCTTTTCTTAGTTGCATAGCATGCTAACATGTGCTAATTAGCACCAAACCAAAGGTGAAGCTGAGGTTGTTGAGTGTCAGTAGTTCTGCAGGTATAAACACTTTACGATCTTGACCTGATGATGGCGCTACATGAAAAGTTAAAGGTTTATGCAAGTTTTTAGAATTCATCATGAAAGTTGTTGAGACAACTCGCTCAAAACCTCAAATGTGAATCTCATGGTGGCGAGAAGAGGGAAAGCATAGGATTCATCCTCTGCAGACCGTGAATGCTTGTAAACCTTCATGTCTATCCATTCAATAGTCTCGGAGATCGGGACCAAAGTCACGGACCGACAGCCCGACATTGTAGCCGTGCTGCTGGCATGGCTAAAAACTATTGCTGACTTATTTAAATTCAAGATATTTTACTGACATTTATTGTATCTACTTCTACTACTCATTCATCAAGTGGCAATCTTGAAGACATATTTAATAAGCAGGTAGCTCTTTTTGTATATATTTTGGACTTACACCTTATTCATTTATATTAAATTAGCATTTGTATTGCCACTGCTACACAACAAGCTTCCCTTGGTATAAATAAAGTTCTTATTTTATCTCTAAACAGTAGACGCAGAAAGTCAGGAAACGCTTCTTTCTATATATATAGAATTAGCCTGTAAAACTATTTTTAGGGTTTAAAATGTTAAAACCAAGATTCATAGTCGTTAACATTTATTTTATAGAAAAAAAAGACATCTGGCTGCGCTGCACCTGTTCTCCTTTTGTTCCTCGCTGGCCTGGCGGTCCCTCAGGTCCCTGCAAAGTGATGCAAAAATTCAGTACGAGAGACAAAGTATGAAGTATTGATTGAAATAATGTAGTTAATAATGTTCATACGGTGTCACCCTTCTCCCCCGGAGTGCCACAGTCTCCTCTCTCCCCCTAAAAGACCAAAGATTAGACGTCATTAAACTGAAGAGAATAAAACAACTCATGAGCATGCTGCTGGAGCTAAACGTCACCCACCTTGTATCCCTTATAACCTGGACGACCCTGGAAAAGGCGAAACAGTTTTAAAATCTGAATTTCATCCGATAAGAACTTGGTAATTAAAGATTTTTGAATTTTTGAATTTTTTTTTACCTCTGGACCATCACTTCCAGGTCGACCGTTCAAGCCCGACTCCCCCTTAAAAAAACAGAGAACAACTTAAAATGAGCTGCATTAAAAATCAGACACTAATATAGTTTGTGTCTTTGTGAGATGACTTACCCTCGCTCCCTTTAGACCAGCTGTCCCTCTGAAGCCTGCGTCCCCTTTTCTACCCTGGAATTAGTAATAGTTAAGTCTTAGTCTGACACTAAAAGATGAGACGGTGATACGTACGTTTGTGATAAAGAAATACAGAACGAGTATCCTGTCATTTTGGTGAAGATTATAGTTTTTGAACGGAACTCACTGGACTTCCATGAGGGCCCTTCTCTCCTCTTTCACACAAACACACTTGAGCCTGTGGACACTAACACGGAGACAAACATACAACGTCAATCCAACCATTTACACCAGATAAATATAGAAGGAAAAAATACTGGATTGCATTGAAAGACTTACCTCATCCAATGCGACTGCACCCTGGATGCAAAACATGGGACAAGAAATGTCAATGACAGTTCGTTCAATCACAGAAAAGATCAATTTATTTACTTTCAGTGAAATCTTGGTACGTTCTTGTCGGCCCTCAACACTATTTTTTCTTTCTTAGCAAGCTATAGTTGTGAATGAATGATATCACACATTTCTGGAAAGCAGAACAAGCCATGCATCTCTCTCAGACAGACATTTGACATTTCTCTGTGTGTGTTTGTGTGGAAAATGCAAAGCAGGCGGAAAGCCCCGGTCATGCACACACAACCGTGTCACTGAGAGGACAGTGACACGGAGGACAGAACATAAACCTCTTCTGCACGCTGCCCTCACTGTGATCGGCTGCTGGGGGTGCAGTTTATCATTAGTGCTCCTCGACCGTGTGGCGGGTCGAGAAGAACGCTCGGTTCTATTCCACACAAACACATGCAGTTGATGTCGGGGGATTTTTTGCACCTTCAACCAAACAAGTGGAAGAAAACACGTGAAATCAGAAGGTGAAATGGCTGCATTTGGCTGTGATTAGGCTGCAGAACCCCTGAAGCATCTTCTAGCTCAGTGGTTCCCAACCTTTATTCTTAGGGGTCCCCTTTTCTATCGTTGAGTAAACGGACGACCCCTGACTAAATTAAATATCAGGTGGATATAGCTGTACATACCAACTGGTAAACTGTACAATTAACCCAAATAGTGAGAGAAATAACTGAAGGAAGTTTTTGTAAAACAATTATTTGCAAATAATGCAGGACGAGGCTGTTCAGCAGAGAGGGAAAGCTCTGTGAATATAGCTTGTCTTCACCGAGCCTTATCCTGTTTGTATCTTAAATAATATTCTAAACTTTAATAATCTGATCTGATCTGATGAACTGTCCATACGTTTTCTCACACCCCTTAAACTCCAGAAGAACCCTCAGGGACGGGATCCAGTGTTCTAAACAATCACTGTGAAGATTGCTGCAGCTCATACAATGTTTTTAACTATTCATTCTCTAGTCTATGTCCTGGGTTGGATCTATGATCTGCCACAGTGTCTTTCTTGCTACCACCACTAGGGGTCGCCAAAGTGAGAACATTTAATTTCCTACACATACAGCAGGGGATTAAATAATTATAATTTACAGACGTTAGATCATCCAAAACTCTGCTGCTAGGATTTGAGTCTGACTTGGAAACGTGATCACATTTCAACAATCCTGGCTTCCTCACACTGGCTACCTGTTGCTTTTAAAGTTGCTTTTAAGATATTAATTACGTACAAAGCCCTGAGAGGCCTCACATCAAGTCATCTATCAGATGTCTTATTGCCACATGTCCCGCACCCTGAGATCCCCGTTTGTGTTGTTTTCCGTGTTGCACCAAGGTCCAGATTCTCACATAAAGGCGATAGGGTCTTTGCAGTCAGGGCTGTAAACTCATCTTTTCAATCACTTTTAAAAACCTACTTTTCAAGAATTGCTTTTCTGTGATTTACTTTATGTTTTATGAGATTTAAAAAAAAAGTTTTGGGCGTTTATTTCTCTTAATTCTCTTTGTATTTAAAATATGTTCTGTTTTTATCGTAGAGCACTTTGTAACAGTGTTTTGAAAGATGCTAAATAAAAAAAGGTTTATTTTAATTTTTTTATCCACAAAACAAAATACACAAACCGATGTGTCTGTTGGAGTTATTCCAACATTTCTTGCTTTGGGATACCACTGAGGCATGCCACCCTGTCCCTGTCCTGTCAACACAGGCGCCATTTTAACTGAGGTCATCTCACTAGAAGCCGGCACTCACCATCTCTTTGAGCATCTTCTCCTCCAGCTGAGGATCCAGAAGACTTTGGACAAACTGCTGAGCGGGTGTGCTGGCGATGGCCCGGAGCTCAAACTGCTGAGCGGGTGTGCTGGCAATGGCCCGGAGCTTGGCGTTATTCTGACTCTGCTGACTGATGCCCGACAGACCAACAGTGAAGAACTTTATGCCGTGACCTTTGGCCTCCGCTGCAGCCGCGATCACATCGGGGCTGCGGGGATGGTCGACCCCGTCAGTCATCAGCACCACAACCCTGACGCTGTCCGCCGGCGTCTCCTGCACCAGCAGCTGCGAGGCGTTGGTGATGGCGTAGGTGGTGTAGGTGCCGTGGCCGATGTAGCTCATGGTGCTGACTCGACTGTGAAATGAATCCAGGTCTTTCCAGGCCGAGAACCGGTGCTCCACGGACACGGAGCTGCTGTACTGAAGGGCGGCCAGTCGCATCTTCAGCGTCCGGCCGGCTACCTGCAGCATAGAGAGGCGGGTGCTGAAGCTCAACACGAAGGCCTTCTGCTTCTCAAACAGGAGTATCTTTGCACTCTCGGAGCTGTCCAGGATGAAAGCCACCTCCAGTGAACATGTCAGACCTGTGGGAGAAGAGACAACGAAACCTCGGGTGAATGCAGAGATTCACAATACTGAAGACAAGAGAGTCTGGAGAAGGTTGCAGCTCCACAGTCCTTTTAGTAGATAAGCCAAACCTAACTACTCAAGAGGGTGATGTTCATAAACAGATATGTTCCAACATGCAGCAAACGATTACTTGTTGAATAACAGAAAGTTATTATTTATTATTTAGATTAAATACATTTCAGGCCTCAAAGACTATTACAGTTCTGTGAGGCAGAGCTGCTCTCAAAAGTAGGGAGACCTCATCACTGGAGTTAGGGCTTGTCTTCCCAGCATTACTCTCAATGAGTACCTGATCATCTGGCCTGGCCCTACATGGCCTAATGGATGGTGGATTTCCTAAAAGGCAGCTATAAAGAGTCCATGCCCAAGAGTGAGAACACTGCACATCAAATGTTCGATAACGAATGGTAAATGGTTGCTTTTATATGGTGTTTTTTATCCGAAGCGCTTCACAATTTGCAAGCTACCATTCAACCTGAGGTGCTGGCCTGACCATCAGGGGCAATTTGGGTCTTTCCCAAGAAAGAGCTGGAGATTTAATGTCTATATCTGTTGAGCCACAGTCCCCCAACGATGATCCCCCCCGTAACCCGGAAGCTCTGGATTTGTGGGTTGAAACACTGGCCCAAAAAGCTTAAAAGCCCTTCAGTTTTTGTCTGTGTGCTGTGAAACTCTATAAATGTTGTACATTGTGACTGAAGCTGTGGATGTTATAACTCCTACCGTGAGTCTGTTACACCCACATGATCCAGTGTCAGACCTTCACCACCAACATGTGGATACCTCATATAAAGAGATTACCGTTTCCTCCATCATCATGCATCCTGTAGTTGTTCCTGCATCCTGTCCTCCTCTGGCCCGGGGCCTCGTGTACGAGAGCCAGCAGCAGAAGGCAGACCCCCACTCCTCTCCTCAGGTTTCCCCTCAGCGACTTTTCCATCCTGGCAGAGAAAGCAGTTTACGAGACAAAGCAATGAAGTGCATAAACATACTGTATGTGCAAAGCACAACATATGCAGCCAGTATCATAGGATTCAAATGTTACTATCGTGCAAAGTTTCAGACAATAATAATATTACCATAATTTGTTCCAATCATACTGTTCCTGGCGCTGATAATGTGCTTTAACTATGAAATTAATATAGATCCAATCCAATATTATTAGCCTAAACAAATTCCAAATGCTGCAACTTTTAAGTAATCTGCAAAGTATTTGAGTTCATGCAGAGTAAATGCATGAACTAATGACTTGTCTAAGCTGTAGTACACACGCATTAAAGTTGTCATTTATACTGTAACCATGACACAAGTAACCAAATTAAGGGTGCATACTGTATTAGGCATGCAAAGAAAGAAGTTATTTTACCTAGAATCTCATTTAGCTGCAGTCAGTGCTTGTAGTTCAGTCGGCTGTGGCGCTTTGGAGCGACATTTCGCCGCGTAATGAAGTCCTATAAAACGTGTTGAATCCAACTGAGGACCATCGGATGAGCTGGTGTGCTGTGTGTGTAGCCAGGGGGCTCTGGGCCCGCTCCAACATTTCAGCGCTGGTTCACTTCAGAGCTTGACGACTAACCGAATATTTTTTTCCTGACTCTGTGGCTGTTCACTGAACACAACAACTTTCTGCAGGAATATTAGAATAGCGTAGAATGCGGACTAGTAATAATAGTGAAACTAATAGTGCAGACACACTACTCTGTGAGAATATTAAAGGAGCATTGGGGTTTGTTTTCGTCCAGTGAGTTCTCGTGGAAAGTCTACTTGTGTCACTTTTCGGATAATAAATTTGGAGGGTTAATACAGTCTTTGCTTTGTGTTTTGGGAAGTTGCACATGGAGATTGTTTGGATGCTGTGCGTAAAACTCCCAAATGAGATTATTTTACTTTTCCAATTTCGCCCACTAATGTGAAAACCAGATGTATGATTCATGTACAGTGCAGGAATTAATCTTATTTATAGGAGACTACTTGTAAAATGCGAGCACAACTCTGTGTACATTGATTACCTTCCGAGAAGAATATGTTCAATTAATCTACTAAATCTTAATCGATTATCGAAAATATCTAGATGATGTAGTATGTTTTGAATTTCCTTTCTGTGTATTTTCACACATACTTTGGTTACGGCGCCCTCTGGTGGTGAACTGCACGCATAACCGCGCCTAACCGGAACCTTAGAGTATCTAACTTTCCCAACCTCACGGACGTGTTTTGGTGTAACACACAACATTCAGAGGCGCTCGGAGTGTCCCTGGCCAACATGTGCACGCCAAACCGTAATTCACCCGCTCGTTTAAACGCTCTGCATGTTAGTAAGTAACACAGCATCAATAACTGATATTAGTTAATATTAAAAGCTCATATCGTGACGTCGTAGATGATGTTTTCGACCGTTAGCTAAATCCGCGCTAGCTAAACGGTTTTCATATAGCGTGTCCTTCACTCGTTAGCATTCGCTTCGTTGAATTAGCATGTCAACAAACTTTGGACTTTAGTTTTAACTTTGTCATGTAGTCGATTAACTGCATCGTTTACTTCACGTGACTCTTTTATCTCAAAACATACGTTGCCGATTAGCTAGTTAGCATCAGGTTGCTAACTTTTTTGCTTTTAAATCATCAGCAGTAACGCTTTAGTTTTACATGAAACGTTTAGCTAATCTTCACTTTAAGGTTACGTCATCATGTTTATGGGATTTGTCATTCTTGTGTTTTGGTCAACCTTTTTGTTTTTTTGCCAATATCACTAGTATTTGTTTATATGCTAATTTCTTTGCTAATCTGTCCATATTCCAGGTTGAAGAAGGCAGATTTCGTTGAGATCCTTCTAGCTGCCTCTGAATCATGAGTGGCTCCAAGCCGGACATCCTGTGGTCCCCCCACCACCCGGACCGCTATGTGATCTGTGACTCTGAGCTGGGACTGTATCGCATTGGATCCGTTGGCAGCTCAGAAACCAAGGCTGGCACCCTGCCGCTCTCCGAAAAAACTGCTGCTACTCTACTAGCCATCAACTCTGACACCCCTTACATGAAATGTGTGGCCTGGTACCCAAAGCACGAGCCAGAGTGTTTGCTCGCGGTGGGCCAAGCTAACGGCAGAGTGGTGCTCACCAGCCTGGGTCAGAGCCACAACTCCACCTATAAAGAGCTGGTGGGGAAAGAGTTTGTGCCTAAGCACGCCAGGCAGTGCAACACTTTAGCCTGGAACCCGGTGGACAGCAACTTGCTGGCCGCCGGGTTGGACAAGCACAGAGCAGACTTCTCTGTCCTCATATGGGACATCAGCAGTAAGTTTTCCCCAGAGGCCAGTGTCGCGTCTGAGAAGATCCGCCTGTCATCTGTGGATTTGGACTCGAGCTCGGTGGTGACCAAGCCGTTGTACGAGTTGGGCCAGAACGATGCTTGCCTGTCCCTCTGCTGGCTGCTCCGCGACCCAAAGCTGCTGTTGGCGGGCATGCACCGCAACCTTGCAATATTTGACCTGAGGAACACGAGCCAGAAAACGTTTGTCAACACTAAGGCCATCCAGGGGGTGACGGTCGACCCACACGTCCATGACCGTGTGGCCTCTTTCTATGAGGGTCAGGTGGCCATCTGGGACCTGAGGAAGTTTGAGAAGCCCGTGCTCACGCTCACCGAGCAGCCTAAGCCGCTCACTAAGGTATGATGCAGTTTGAGATGAGCAAAATGTTCAAGCTCTGTCCAGTTTAAGTTGTTTTTTTGTCGATTTCAAAAGCAGAAAGTTGCCGTTTAATAACACAATGATTTCCTTTCTCATTTCAGGTCGCTTGGTGTCCAACTCGTAACGGCCTGCTGGCCACGCTGACACGCGACAGCAACATCATCCGCCTGTACGACATGCAGCACACCCCCACGCCCATCGGCGACGAGACGGAGCCCACCATCATTGAGCGGAGCGTGCAGCCCTGTGAGAGCCAGATCGGCAGCTTCGCTTGGCACCCGTCCTCTCAGAACCGCATGGTGGTGGTGTCGGCGGCCAACCGGGTCATGACCGACTTCACCGTGTTCGAACGCATCTCGCTCGCCTGGAGCTCCACCACCTCGCTCATGTGGGCGTGCGGCAGACACCTGTACGACTGCGCGGAGGACGGAGGTGAAGGAGTGCAGAGCGCCATTGAGAAAGACATCGCCACCAAGATGAGGCAGAGGGCTCAGTCCAGGTACGGCCACGATACCGCCCAGGTGTGGAGGAACCACCTGCTGGCGGGAGGGAACGATTCCCAGCTCAAGTGTCTGTGGTATGATCTGTTTTATATCCTTTTTGATGAAGAGGGGGAGGTGGAAACACACAAAGCTGACTCTACGTTTAATCGTTGTGCTTCACTCATCCTTCTTTTCTGGAGTTTTATCGCTCCTTCTTCACAGCTAACTGGTCACATATGCAGAGCAGTCTTTATGCCCTTGGTAAATATATATAGAATCATTATACTTAATATCTAAATCCATTTGTTAATGCAAGTCAATATTATTGAATTCGCTGTATAGAAGTTTCCTGTGAGTATAAAATCTTTTTATTTAGATGGTGTACAACTAGTTTGTATAAAAATGAGACAACCCCGATGACAATTGGTCCCGTTTGAATTTGAGTAACGTGATAAAGTTCTGTCGTAATCGTGGTTCTTAAGCACCTCTGATCTGTTCTGTGCTGTCGCTGTGTTCCTCGAACTGCAAAATGAGTTACCTTTCCTATAAAAGCATCACATATGAAGCTGTGTGCAGAGGACACGGAGCTGAAGCTGCAGGGGAACAAACAGTCGGTGGTCTACTCCGGTATCAAGAACATTGTGAAGACCAGCTCGGGTAAGCCACCTCCTCTCTGTGAGGAGGAATCAGACCGTGGTTAGACAGTATTTATTATTTGTGTTATCCTACATTGATACTAGATTGCATAATTGGGGAAATGGGCTCATTGAATACACTGTGTATGTCTTCCTGGTTCCCCCAGGCACAACAGAGAGCCGCAGGTGCTGGAGCGGTTCGGACCGGCAGACTGATGTTCCGCGGTACCACAGCGAGGAGCGCTGCCTCGCCCTGCGGCTCTGCGGCTGGATCAACCGAGGTCCCGACATCGACGTGGAGATATTCCTGCGGTCGCTGGAGAACGAGCGTGAGTGGGAGCGGGCGGCCGCCGTGGCTCTGTTCAACCTGGACATCCGCCGGGCCATCCAGATCCTCAACAAGGGAGCCACCGCTGAGAAGGGTGAGTGGGTGTAAGGGGGGGGTGTGTATCTTTGAAGCCAAGTGTTGACTGGAAGGAAGAATGTTTCTGACCAACCCCCCAAAGCTGAGCGATTATTTTCACTAACGTTTAATCTGCAGGTTATTTTCTTGGTTAATCGGTAATTGTTTGGTCTATAAAACACCAGGAAACGGTGAAGAACACTCAGCGCAATATGTCTGGGAGAACATGGTGTCCTGGTTCTTTTTCTGACCAACAGTCCAAAACCAAAAAATATTTTCTCTGTTGGTTGGTCCACAACCCCCATCCTCCACTCGCCCTAGGAGGGTGAAATTTGGCATGGAGGTCGTGTGTGTGTGTGTGTGTGTGTGTGTGTGTGTGTGTGTGTGTGTGTGAGAATGCAATGCGCGTACGTGGTCGCAGCTATTGCAAGTTTGTGCTTGTTTTAATGTGAGACCAAGAAAAGCAACACATTCGTACAATCGGAACCAACAAACATTTATGCTTGAAAAGCGACTCTTTGTCCATCAACATATTGATTCATTGAATTGTTGCGTTTTACTTTTTTTTTTGGCAAAATAAAATCATGTGGTGGTTCGAAATAAAGCAGAAGCAGTAAAAACTCCAATTAAATAATGATAAACTTTAAACCAGCGTTCTTCTCTCTCTTACTGAGATCTATTGATTTGCACTCTGCAGAGTGGTCTGCCTCTGCATCGTGTGCTGTGTAATGTCATGCTGCTTCAACAGGAAATTATATAAGCAATCTTTAAAAAGCTATGTCGTGTCCGGTCTGGAGCGCGTTTAAAAACTGCTCATAAATGTGTTAAATATAATACTAGACTCCCGGTTAACAGAGTTTACGTGTGCTAAGTTTCTTCTTTTCCTTCACAGTCTCTCAACAAATGAAGTTAAGGTCTGAAGGAATTTAAAAAATGTAACAGCAGGAGATCCTTGTTTTCCACACAACACTCATCCTGCAGCGCTGTTCACACTGAGGATTAACACACACGGAGAGAGAGAAAGCCGTTGTGTGCTTATGTCGTGACTTAAAATTCCACCAATGTAGGTCAGATGTTTTCGGCTAATGAGTGTTTTCTGAACATGACTGGAGGCTGAATCATTAGATGAGGTGTGTCAGCAGAGACATCTGAACGGGCTTCTTCTCAAACAGCAGCTTTGACTTTAAGAACTGGTTCACATCTGCACACTTATAAATAAACATTTATCTAATACGGTGATAATCTGCTGGCCCACTGGAAACTACCTTTCTTACTTTTACTAAATGTTTTTGCACAACATTTACAATGTTGCCCAGAGTTTGATGAGATGATGAGATGAAGTACAGTTAAGCTACAGCTCAGCTACAGCTACAGCAAATAAATCGTAGACCATGTTTTATGTTAAACAATGCACCGACGACATGTCTGCTTTCCCTCTGGGGAAAATAAGGGATTTATGTAATTATACGGCTTTAATTTAGCTTTTTTGTGAATGTCTATTTAATTTAGTTTTTAATTCTACTCTCTGATGAAAGACGCAGCATGAACAAAGAGTTGTTTTCGATGTGAGCTAACCATAAAACACATTTTTAAATGAATTCCTGTTTCTCCAAACTTATTTTCATCGAGCCACAAGTCACCATGAACAATTCGCTCAGTCAGAAGCTCCACCACAGTGCTGCGCTCACAGTGAAGGCTTTGCACAAAGTGAATGAACCCGCGTGTCTGCCTCCTTATTCCCAGGTGACCTGAACCTGAACGTGGTTGCCATGGCTCTGTCAGGCTACACCGAAGAGAAGTCCTCCCTGTGGAGGGAGATGTGCAGCTCTCTGAGGCTGCAGCTGAAGAACCCCTACCTCTGCGTCATGTTTGCCTTTCTCACCAGCGAGCCGGGAGCCTACGACGGCGTGCTGGTATTGAATCTCTCACTATCAAGGAACCTTCATAGCTCTGTTGCGAACACAAGGGAAGTTAGCAAATAGGAAAGTGTTTAAATTGGCACTCTTTTCTCTCTGAACAGTCGCTGTTTTGTTCCCACTTAATGAAAACTCTTACACATTCTATAACAGTGTGCCGAATAGGTAGTTAATACCGCAGTGGTGTTTCATGGAAAAATAACAGGAAGAGATGTGTTTCATGTCATAAAACACCTCACAGAAAATGTTCCCAGCACACTGAGTGCACGCTTGTGCTTTTTTCCCTCCCTCATCAGATTTTGCCGTCGCATTCATTTATCTCTTTAGACTTCCTGGCCAAAAGGGGATGCCTCCACAATGAGAACATTTAGTCAGTCGCTGTGACGCTCTCTGCTTTTAGAACTGATTATGTGTAAAATAGTTTCCTGCAGAACTGTGTCTTTTAGCATTACAGGCAACGGTATTAGTATATGGAGACACATGCGATGTACTGAACGCAAGATGCTCGATGTACATTGAAGCATTTCTCCCGTTAAATCGTGAAGCACAAATACGCATTTGAAATGACGAGAGAAGTTGAATGATCTTTGTCTGTGTTTCAGTTTGAGAACAGTGTTGCTGTGCGGGACCGCGTTGCCTTTGCCTGCATGTTTCTCAGCGACGCACAGGTAACGCAACACAAAGTCAATCCCAGGTTATGTCGTCACAACAACACACTATAGTTATGCATATGTCGCATCCTTTAACCCCATTTCCTAATGAATTACTTTAAATATGCATGATAATGATACATTCTTCTCTGATTTGTGATATATTTGTAAATGTCTCGGGGGGTGGGGGGGGTATCCGGCTGCAGCTGCCTCGATACATCGACAAACTGACCAACGAGATGAAGGAGGCGGGCAACCTGGAGGGCATCCTGCTGACGGGTTTGACTAAAGATGGCGTGGACCTCATGGAGAGCTTCGTGGACCGCACCGGAGATGTCCAGACCGCCAGTTTCTGCATGCTGAAGGTACACAAACCCAGACAAAATGTATGCAAGTTGGTCTTTTGTTTTTGTTTTTGTGTCCTCGCCTATAGCTCCTCTGGCATACCTCCTGGCTCCTCGAGATGCATTTTAGGAGATTAAAAGTGACGAGTCAGGATCGAGGAGGCACAACATCTAGAAATGAAGCCGGCCACTGTTTGTTGTTTGGGGTCAATCTGTCTCTATGCTACACAACTGTATTACGTTTGGTGTGTTTTCTGGCCTCAGATACAATGCTAAAATTGTTTTAAAAATGCATTTTACTCTTAAATTAATTAGACCTAAAAAAAAGAACCTACAGTTTCCCTCCTTTTGACTAATATTAGAAAAGACAGGCCCACAGTGGCACCTGATTGCCAACCCCTAGACCATTTATTGTGGCGTAACAATGCCTTATTAACTTGTTGTGCCATGCAAACTGCAACCTTCTGGTTAAAAGTACAGCATGTTACAGTACGTGACCCCGAAATAAAAGGTTCAATGATTAACCTGAATGAACTAAACACAAAAGTGCAACGAAGGAAAACAAAAGAAACCGTCAGTCTGATCGCACTCTTAGAGAAATCATAAAGGCACACGCTAAAACTTGCCTCTTCCTTTCTTAAAGGTCACAGCTGTTATTTTTAACTACAATAATGTGAAGCAAGCAAGAGCTGTTTGCTCTCCTGCACTTGTTCCTATAAAGAAAGGTTCAGAGTTTAAAGCGGTGGAACCGCTCTGTGTTTGCTTTTATTTCTTTTTCCTGTCCTAACCTGCTTATGAATCGAGTACTGCAGGGTACAAGTCATTCACCACCTGTGTTAAGTATACCTTGCATACATTTACACAAACATGTACACATTCCACCACAGGGAAGGCTGCAGGAAGGGTGAGATTTGTAGGAGCCTTTCTGTGACCTGACCTGCTTCCCAGTACAATGAACTGAAGTGATGATGTGAAATAACAACATTCCACCAGGGCTCCCCAGGGGACGTGTTGAAGGACCCTCGAGTCCAATGCTGGATCGAAAACTACCGCAACCTGTTGGATGCTTGGAGATTCTGGCACAAACGGGCCGAGTTTGACATCCACAGAGGCAAGCTGGACCCGAGCTCCAAACCCCTGGCCCAGGTAACGCACATCTGGGGGACGACATGTTCAGAATTATGTTCATCGTTTTAGGGACCAGTGCAGTGCCTGAGAGCAAGTTGTACCCAGCATGCAGTTTGGCAGTGTAAGAGACGATAGTTTAGCGAGCGCTCCTTACCCAGCATGCCGTTCATTGGTGCAACAGTTAAAGAGGTCCCCCTTTCAATATCCACCAAATGACTGACAACAAATGACAGTTTTGATAATTGTATATATATTTATGGAAAATCTTAAACATTTGCTGGCTTCTCGAATTTGAGGATTTGCTGCTTTTCTGTGCTTTATGTTTTTGGAGTGTTAGTCGAACAAAACAAGGAATTTTTAAGACGTCATTTTTAGCTCTGGGAAATTATCTACAGAGTAAACAACAAAAACAAGATAGAGATTAATTATTGATGACAATGATTGTAAGCTGTAGCCATAAATACTTGATTATAGGTTACTGGTTGTGTGGTTAAAATGACCTGACTCTAATGTGAGAGGGCGCTGGCAAACTCATAGCGGTCCGTCTTGTTTGTTTGCAGCCGTAGATATCGTGACGCTTGAGCCGTTTATTACAGCACAGGTAGTTTGTGCCAAGCTTGTAACACCCACAGCTCTGCTGCTCTCCAATTCTTGTCATGAAAACCTGTGTTCTCGTGAGCAGTCCTTGTAGTTTTCTCTGTTCCAGATACTATACTGTACTTAAACAGATCCTTTTTAAAATGATTATGAGTACGCTGGTGCTGCAGGCAAACCTCGGCACCACCTGCACCACTGACATTCCAATATTCCCAGTTGAGCACATTGGGATTATTGCAGCATTATCTCGCGCTTATCTCCTTCTCCCCTCGAAGTGAAAATCAGACAGCTGGCGAGCGTGTGCTTGTTGGTTTTACCTTCATGTTCACTGGCCCCTTATCGACCGACCTTTGCGTTTGTTCTCGTGTGACAGGTGTTCGTGAGCTGCAACTTCTGCGGCAAGTCCATCTCCTACAGCTGCTCGGCGATGCCCCACCAGGGCCGCGGCTTCAGCCAGTATGGCGTCAGCGGCTCGCCCACCAAGTCGAAAGTCACCAGCTGCCCCGGCTGCAGGAAACCACTGCCACGTTGCGCCCTCTGCCTCATGAACATGGGCACGCCCGTTTCTAATTGTCCAGGTAAGCTGGCCTGTGTGTGGAGTGTGTAGACCGATGCATCTTGGAGCAGCGTTAAGTGTTTATAACCGAGCATTCGCAGGAGGAGATTGTGTGCACTTTGATCGGCATTTAGAGGCAGTTGCTCCCGGATGTTCAGTGAACAATCCAGTTTCTTTTTATTGCCGCGACGTCGCTCACACCAACGTCGACATAGATAGTCAAATTTTATTGATTGCTAATATTGACTTGTGGATAAATCCTTTCTGGCAGGAACAGTGAAGTCGGATGAGAAGGTGGATTTGACGAGGGAGAACAAACTCGCTCAGTTCAACAACTGGTTCACCTGGTGTCACAACTGTCGACACGGCGGCCACGCCGGCCACATGCTCAGCTGGTTCAGGTGAGACGCTCACTGGATGGTGCTACATGTGTGGATACGTGGTTCCTGCTATGGTCCGTGTACCTTCTGTTCGTTAGAAGAAATCCAATATCAATCAGTACAAAATGCAAAATGGGACTATCGTCAAAGATATCTAGAGCTAATAGCAAAAAGATCAGACGTGAGATGAGTTATTCAACCAGATGTGGACACGTGCTGTGCAAAAAGCGTTCATCTCTCTCTCACTGCAGTAATCGTGGAAGGCAAAAGTGATTCTACTGATGTATAAAAAGTCACCAATACTCTGAGATACCTGTCACTTGAATATAAAGGTAGACGTAATATTGTTAAATCCATGTTGGGATCCTGTTAAAGATTCTCTTTGAGGAACCATGTAGCCTAAAGTTATCTACCACAGACAAAAAGCAACGTAGAAATAAATAACATAAAAACATGACTAGCTTTACCCTCTTTGAGTGTAAAGCTAGTCATGTTGTTTTCGTGAAACAGTAGCCTGTAGTTATCGATCACTGACAAAAGCAAAGTAGAGTAGAAATCATTTTCCTGTGGCAAAACCCTCTTTGCTTTGTTTTATTTCCAGTTGACTAAAGTGTAAAGAAAATACAGAGATTCAAGCCATATTCCTTCAAACTATTATTTGCATCAGGAAAAAACCTTTTTCTTTTATTTCAATGAACAGATGGTACACTGACCTGCAACGCCCCTCTGTTCTTTCAGCCAGGATGTACAAACTTCTGTATTATCTCCTGTTAATTCCTCTACCGTTCATGTGTCCATTACAGAGACCACACAGAGTGCCCAGTGTCTGCTTGCACATGTAAATGCATGCAGCTGGACACCACGGGGAACCTGGTGCCTTCAGACGGAAGCTAAACAGGAGACGCTTGTCGGGAAAGTGAAGCCAAACGACCAGCCAGAAGCCGACCGGTGCGGGTTCACTGCTGGACCCGCCACACGACGACAACAATGACAGGGCCGATGGACAAAGGGTGTCAGCAGTGTCCTCCTCTGAAGTGGCTGCTTGAATAGAGCGACATACTGTTTAAGTTATAGTCTAGTGAATGTAATGTTATAACAGAGCCCTATATGACGAAGGGAGACGGTGTGTGTTACTGACTTTACTAACTGAATCAATGACAGAAAAGGGAGCCAATGCAAACTTGCTGCTCTGCTAATGTAAATCCCACTCAGGAGAAATACAAGCGCTTTAATCAGACTCATACAATCTAACCTGAATCAGGCTTATAGTTTTATTGTGACCTGTTAACAAAGGAAAAAATCAAATGTCCACTCACACGTCAGGTTGTAAAGATGTGATCACAGGTGCCAATATGTGTGCGAGCTGTATAATTTCCGGGCTTGTGTTTTAACACGCTATTTAACGTCCTGTGTTTGTCTTACGAAAGGATTTTCACATACCTCATGAAAGCGTTTTTCGGGGGGGTAGGGGGGGTGGTACCCCGGGTGACGGGAGCGGAGTGTAGCGCGCACAATACCGACACTCTCTTGCTCTCTTCGTGTTCCTCTGTGCCACTCTTCATCTTGGCATTGTGCGCGATGGGCTTCCAGTGTTAGAGGGGTCAATGAGGAATTGGAGATGGTGGGGGGGTGGTGAGGAGGAGGAGGAGGAAGGGGAAGGGTGGGAGGGTTGCGTCTGTATTCACCGGCCCACTCCAGGCCTGTGGTCCATGAAAGAAGCTCGCCAGAAAACAGCAGCTGCTCGGCACTCTGACAAGACCCTCCAGATTGTTCCCCTCATAAAGAACCTCAGCTGCCGGAACACTATTGACTCAAAGAGAGGGCGAGAGAACAGACCTGCACACACACCCACCCACCCCCCCCCCCCCCCCCCCCTCTCTCTACACCCTCCGACATACACAGACTTGCCCTCTCTTTTTCTTTCTCCCTTTCTGTGGTGCCCAAATTGCAACCCAAAAAACTATGCATACCACACATCAATCCAAGGATGGGCGCCGTCTGTGGGTGGGGGGGAGACAGCCGTGTGTAAGCCGCATTGTAAATGGGTTTTTCTCTCGTTCTCTGCCACCCTCCCCGCTCTGTCACTAACCTAGGGAGGCATTGTAAGTGAGAGGCGGCCTGCACCAGAGCTGGCTAAATCACTTAGTCATGGAGTGAGGAGGAGGTGGAGGGTTGGTTGGGGGGGGCACAGGAGCTACTGTATGCCGCTTTCACCAGGATCTCTTCCCAGTGTGGGAGGTTTTTTACAGGCCTGCTTGCCCTTTTGTGAACTATTTTGGAGTGGAGCTGACAAATTGGCGAGCCGTGTAGCGTCCTGAAAAATACAGGGTTGCTGGAATTTCATCCCTTCAGTGTTTCTTGTGTTTGCCTTTTAAAATAAATTCCGAGTGACAAATTGGAGCTCTGCTGAATGGGGGGTGTTTTCCATCAGTTTACATGGTTTATTTTTACATTATGTTTCATAGACACAGATGGCGTGGGTTTTTCTAGCCTATGCCTTCTTCAGCTTTTGCCTGAAAGCATTGAGTCACGCATTATTCTCCCATGGGAACTCCCACAGAATCACAGACCGTCAGTGCAGGCTGAAAGATGGACACCGGTGAAAAACAATAGATTTTGGACATCAGATGTAGTAGTACATCTCTTGAGCTTGGACTGGAAGTTCATTCTTAACTGTTGACACAACAACCTCTCCACAAGGTCCATTAGTAGATGTTCTGGTACTTTCATTCACATCAGTCTTCCTCAATAGATGGAGTTTACGTTTTCACTTCTTCTTGTCCATGTTGGCTTAAAAGTTGTGATGGAAATTCACTCTGGAAAAACAGCAATTAATCAAAAATCTCACCACAATCAGAATAATCTTTACAAAGATATACAGCTCAAACGAGTCTAAACAAAAATAGTTAAATTAAATTGTGTATACAATGCTAGAATACATATTGTATGCATACAATATATTTTAGTCCTTTGGTAGTGCGCAGTGGAAAAAGAAGGAAACAGAATCTACATTTCAACAATTGGGCAAACGCCATCTGCTGAGGAAGGTCTTGTAATAATGATTGACAGCTCCTTAACTGCGACTAATGGTCTTCCTCAACTAACATTTATTCCATCATACTTTATACATGCAGGCAGCAATCATGTGCAGTAGTTTGGTTTATACCGTTTATAAGTATGTTTTTACATCTTAATTTTCGCTAAAGAAACTTTACCCACACTAATAAGACATATCTCACCCGATTGGATGAAAGTACGAGCCATAGAAGAACCTCCGCCAATCAGCGACATTACTGTACAACGCCAGTATCCAATCAGAAGCTCAGACGTGATAAGCGTAGCCCCGCCCACAGGCACCAGCCAGCAGTCTGGCCGAACCAACTGTCATTTAGACTGAGTGGACATGATGGGGAAGACACTACGAGAGCAGGAAAACACGCATTAAACGTCTCAAGAAGTATTAAAAACAACTTTTAAAGTTACTTGTGTGATGGTGTAAGCCTACATCGACATGTGTTAAGTATATTACAGGTAAGTTATCACCAAAATAACGCGTGTTTTTGTCCCTTTGAGCGCGTGAGTTGAAATTTTACAAAAAAGGAAGCTAACGTTTTTTGTTGTTGCTAACAAGCTAATGTTTATCTCACCACCTCCTCCAGAGCAGCAGCAACGTATTTCTTTATTGCAACCGGAGGGTTTTCGGAGGATGTCAGCGCCCAGCAACTCGCTCCAGCAGCCGAGGGTGAGACGCAGCAACGCGGGCTCCCCAGGCTCCTTCAACAACAACAGCAGCAGCTGTCGTTTGCACCCCATCCGAGCCACCGTGCCCTACCAGCTCCTGCGTGGCGGGGGTCCGGGCAGCCCGACACGTGCGCAGACCCAGCAGACCCTCTACGGTGGAGCCACCACGACGACGACCAGCAGCCGAGGATCAACGAGCCCCCCATCCAGTCCGTCACTCAGTTCAGGAAGTGCAACAAATGCTAAGCAAAGACTGTCTCCGGAAAATAAGGACTCCTCCTGTCCCCCAGACTCTCCAGTTTCCAGAGGTACGAAACCCTTTTCTTCACCTGTTTGGCCTTAAGAGATAAGATAATCCTTTATTATTAGAAATGTACAGGATTACAGCAGGACAGTGCAAACATTATAAATAAGTATTAAAACAGTAAAGACTATTTGAAAAGTAAAAAATCCACAATATTATATACACGGACAGAATAATTGTAGTGTTGCGCAGTACATAGGCCAAGACATGCCATGTCACCATGTGCTCACTGATAATTTGTCATGGTAACTTTTTTGTTTGTTTGTTACGCTAGTATATATTACATTTTAATGTTAATTGTACACAACATGGCTCACATTTTGTCACCTTTTTAAGTCTGGAGAAAGGTTGGCACTTGATTTGCAGAAGGTTGATGCATTAACTATTTAGCCTGCCGTCCACTTGCACAATTAGGCCCTCATAAAGAGAATGGAGCGCACTATTGACTCTCGGAACATATGCTGAGCTTCACCACGTTGCCTTGCACATGGATAACAGAAGCTAGTGCTATGCTGTTTCCTGTCATGCTCAGCTGCTCCTTGGAAGTGATAAGAAGAGAATCTGAAGGAGGACATGAGAGTCCAGGCAGCTCTAAATCTTCATTTCCCAGCGTGTCACTAAATCTCATTTATGTGACAGCCTTTCCTGCCAAGTATCGACACTGTGGCTGCTTTTCCAGACCGGTAGAAGTATCCTATTGTATGCCAGAACAGCATTTTTTTTTTTTTGCTGGAAGAATACAGTTTTTATATCCAATGCATACAGAAAACCCCCACAATATCTCAGCACAACATAATATGAAAGTGTCTGAATACAGCTTGCTTTTCCAGTATGTGGAGACTCTTTCTGTTAACCTGAGTGGGTGTTTCTGACTGCATCAGTTCCCATGAAAAGCACTAAGTATTTTCTGCATTTAACGAGAATTAGGTCACATCTCACAACACTACAGCTGGATCAATGCTACCTTCATTAGTCCCCTTTAATAGCTTCTCCCTCTTATACTTTTTAACTAAAATGGCAGACCTTTTTTTTTTTTTTTTCCCGTGCAGGATTTTACTTATCATGGAGTTGTGAGTGGACTTTTATGTTTGTGACGTGCTTCACATTCCTCAATTCTTTGAATGGGATGACCTCCAACCTTGACCAGTGTACCATGCGAGGCAGGAAACGAAGTCTCTTCCATAACAGACTTTCCTGGCATGACGAATTTCTCCCGTGTTTGGCTAATGTTTGGTGTTGATTTCCCATCTCGGTGGCATGCCACACATACCTCGGTCCTCTGTCAGAGACAACCTCTAACCCAGGCCGGTGGTGATGACGATGATGGAGACTCCACCCACCTTCGCCACTGTGACCTCACACTCCAAACACGCAGTCATCAGATGATGACTATGATCATATCAGTGCTGGCTACTGGAAGTCAAAGATACAAACCTGATGTAGTGATCTTTCATCACCCAACTTGATTATGATTGAAGCAGGAGGCTTTGCACTTTGTAATTTATCATTCACTGCAGTACTTTGAACCCACTCGCAGACATAATGCTTGCCATTTGGTGGGGGTGTCAGTCCAAAATGATTCGCAGTACCATCAGCGTGAGTGCCAGACACGCTGGTAATGGACTGCACCGGTGTTTAGATCATAGCATGATGAAGATAATTATACTCGACATCATGACCTTTTTAGGTTCACCAGCATGACATCATTCACTTAACACACTGTCCCAACAATGGTAGTCCTGCTCTGTCGAAATGCCAGCTGTGCTGAAACAGCCCTGCTTCATTGTCATCCGTTCAAACTGCAGAGTAGGAGCGACTGTGACCACGAGATGTTGTCTAAATCAGTCATCTCTGGTGGAACTGTGCCGTGGTTTCTGTGTAGCATCTGGTTGAACCTTAACTTGGATGTCAAGTTGGCTCATTCTTCTTAGTTATGAATGTTTGAATCGTGAGCACTGCTGGCAGACCCTCCTCGTTCATTGAGATACTCTGAAACTAGTCCAGGCTAGCTTATTGTGGGAGGTACTCATTGAATGATGTCAAATATGCTGATAAGCCATTTCCTGACCAGCTGAGGGACAGATGCTCATAACTTTAACATATCATGGCCAAAATGAACACCATCATTCATATTGTATGAAAGACGGTCACTAGTTAATGCTTGCAATTAACACACTTTTTAACTCGAGCAACTCGTGTAGAACAATACTGAAACAGGAACTGCCTGGTGGCCTGGTGGTTACAGGGGTTCCTCTATGATGGTGGTTAGTGTTTTTATTTATATGATATAGTAAATAAAGCACATTATACCACTCTGTAGTTAATATAACAAACAGATTTAGGATGTTATTTCACTAGTATCAGTGTTATACTCTGTAACCCTTCTAAGCAATGATACAGTTTGCACAGTATTGAGAGTTGGCAATACTAGGTTTCATTATTCACTGTGTGTAGGTCATTCGAGCAATTGCAATAAAGTTGAATTGAATAAAAAATGCCCAAGCTTTAGCACAGACTAAAATTCTATTATCACCTAGTTGAGAAATTCCTAGAAACCCAATGGGAATCTGTTCTGTAATCACACGATGAAGCTAATTGGTTTGTGATTTTCCTTTCAACCAGCACCGTGCAGCCTTGTGAAAACCTGCAGGAAACCGTTCTGCTCTGGTTTACTGATCCGAACCACGCGTTTGTTTTCACATTTGCTCTACAGTTAATGAACCACCCATTTATCCCCTGAAATGCCGGAACCTTTTTCAAGGAACCTGAAAATATTCCTTTTTAATAACGCATACACCATTCGCTCAGCCCTGAAATCAGCAGATGGACTGCTTTGATGTCTTGGCTTCTTTCACACCGTTTCTTTTTTCTCATCAGGAGATTATTCTAGTCTGGCAAGTGGGGAGACGATGGAAAATAACCACAATCCCGGTTCTGAGAGCACCGGCTTGGCCTGTATCAATATTGATGGAAATTTAGCCTGCTTCCTTTGTCTACAATGCTTCAGGGAATTTTACTGTAGCCCAGTAAGCTTACTTAGGCAATACCTTTGGGTGGGTTGGCCTGTGTATTCTATGAACAAAGAACAGCAATGAACAGCTATGTAGTTCCGCGAAGAGAGGGGTGCCTCATGTCGATAGTTTAGTCTGTGTGAGTGTTGGTTTGTGAGTTCAGGTTGGAGAAGGCCTCTGCATAAACCAACTCGGACAAGGAGTAGAGTAAATGTTTCCTGATCGTCACGCTATTCCTTTATTCTGTCTTCTCCATACGGAATGAAGGAGCTTTCATTTGCTTTTGGTAATCGCACGCAGTACAATCTAGGCTAATGCATTTAATCCAACACTTACCACATTCTCATGCTATTCTCAAGCTAATTTCTTTGTGTTTGCATGTTTTGTTTTCCTCTTGTGTTTTTTTTTTTTTTTGTTTTGTTTTTTTCTTTTACTGCGTGTCACTGCAGGAATGTTGAGTGGATGCAGGCAGTATTGATGTGCATTGTGGTGTGGCTGTTTATGAGTTCTTATGTGGGTGGTGTGTGCTTGACTGTTCTGGCTCACAGCAGACTGCTCTCATAACATGAAATACTCCTGCTCAGCCGTTTACATTTGCTCCAGGCCTCAGTTCTCAAGCCGGTTTGTTTGCCCTGCACTAATACTTATGAGATTAGGAAAAACTGTCCACACTTTGAGGACAACAAGAGGTTGCGAGAGGCAAGGTCTCGCCTCAATGAAACCCTGTTAATTGCAGTAGTTAACAGGTGAAGGTTGATTATAATGTATTGCTCTTAAAAGTTATTGTACATTTATTTTCAGGGAGTCGAGTAACAATTTATTCTGTAATTTAAATACATTTATATTCGTGTAAGGTGAAGATCTACCCACAATCCCTTCAGTGGAATTTATTACACATAAACACAATCGGTTAAGTTGGTACGATGAATTCAAAGACTCTTCTGAGAGTTTGGATATATTGCTGGCTTGGTGCTGACGTCTGCGTGCGTGTGTGTGTGTGCGTGTGCGTGCACATGCTTCATCCCATCTCTTTGTTCTGTCCCACAGCAGAAAGGTCCAAGTTACAGGTCCGGAGCTCCAGTGCCATCCGGCGGACATCTTCCCTGGACGCCATCACAGGACCGTACCTCACCGGCCAGTGGCCTCGGGACTCCCACGGACCTTACCCTTCCTGTATGAAAGACAAAGCCACACAGGTACATACCATTCTGAAACAATACCACCGCCAGAGTAGGGGTGGGGCAGGTCATATTATTCATGACAGGGTTTTCCCTAAGTTTCAGAGGGCTGAAGTGCTTTGCAGCCGTTGGGGTTTGAATTGTTTTGTTTTGTTTTTGACTTGGTTTTATGCCATTTCACATTCTTTTATTTTACAAAATAGCTTGCTATCATTATTATTATTATTATTATTATTATTATTAATAATAATAATCACCTATAGTCTGTGTCCTAAACCCTGGGTTCCCAACTCCAGGCACCCCTACCTGCCTATTTTCCAGTTCTCTCTGCTCTAGTACATCTGAACCAGATTCTGCTCAAACCCTGATCTCACCGGGGCTGTTAAGCACCAGTTGTGTTCAAAATACAATGTAGTGAGTATGTTACTAACTATAGTTGTTGTGTTATTTATATATTTTCCACTGTTCGGGTCCAATACACTGACTGTGACAGGGGTGCGTGTGGCAGATGGGCTACCGCAAAACAACTTTTATAAAAAAAAATGTACATTCATTACAGACATAAAAATGTAATGCATCTTTGCTAACTATCTAGCACTCAATTAGTGTGACGACCAGGGTTTTATCATTGCTTAGCATCATGGCTTCGTAATCCATTTCCGACCCAGCATTCTAACAGGCTGACAGGTGATTGGCTGTCATAAGCGATTATTATGTACTGCAAAATTACAGATACATTTAATTACAAATATATTACAGCACCCTGGTTCTCATCCCCGTCCCGTGCGTTCAGCTCGTCCGAATCAAGCCCCCGGGTAGGGCGCCGGGCTTTGAAGCTGATTTTACAAAGTGACCAAACAGGTGAATTTTGGGCCAAAAAAATACCTTTCCCCCCTGGACTTGCATTTGGAAAGGGATGTCTGTAAATCAGCGGTTAATGCCATGAAAAACAATCCTAGAGACAAAGAGAAAAGACTCCACATGTGTCATCTTGTTCTGTCTGATTCAGCTCAGCAGGTGACCGTGATTGATTGATCATCACAGTGTTCATTTGGTTTTGGGGTAATTAATCAGTGTAGCATGTTGTAACGTCAGGGGAAATGAAGAACATCGAGTATGGAGAAAAGTAAGAGTCGAATGGCTTCATCAGTCATATTCCAGGAAGGGCTGTTTGAGAAGAAGCTCACTCAATTCAAATGATGGAAGACAGGACTTACACATAATTGTTGGTTTTCCATCGCAGTAGCTTGTGAAGAAGACACATTTTCAAGCCGTGACCAAATATTTAGTTTTGGTAATCTGGTGGTGGAGTCTGGTGCCAATAAGGCCTGATAGACTTTGCTATACATAATTCCCTCACAATCATACATTTAACACATTATAACTCTTCACAAGACCTGTGCATGGATTTCATATTGAGCCTCTGCACAGTGTTCCTGGACAGCAGCCCACACATCATCACCCACTAATCTGGCCATGTGACTGATGGCTAAATGCAGTTTTTCCTCGAAGAGCTCTATTTTTTGGGGGGGGGGGGGGGTAGTTAGTTTGGGGTGGGTTTGTGTTATAAAAGAATATTGACTATGCATGATCATGACATGGGCTGCTCCCTCTTTGCTGACAGAAGCCTTTCATCTGTCTGAATGAAGACCGCCAAGCCTAATTTACATGAGTTTCATACCTTTAACCCTTCATTTGTCTCGCATGTCTTTGTGTGTAGGCTGAGGAAGTGGTGGGAGGGCCTACAAGGTCTCTTGAAGTGGCTTTATACAGAGTAAATACCTCTTATTACAGGGTTCCTCTGCAGCCATGGAAAGACTGGACAAGTATGGAAAATCAATTTGATAATTATCAGGTCTCGGAAAAATGTCTGGGCACATATACACGGTGAACTTGTAGACTTACTGTTTTTTTGGCAGATTGTGCTGTTTGCCTGTGCTACATAGTGACATGGACCATATTTCCCAGCTATTATCAGCAGAGATCTGATTGAAGGCTTATTAAAATGAAAATCCAGTTCAAGAGATTTATGTCCTTCAAAGCTGTGGAAATTTGAGATGGGAAAACATTTGGCTCTGTCGTAATGATGTGGGAGCGAGTGTGACACACTTGAAAATCCTTGAACGATTAAATGCACAAACTCCCCCAAGGATAGCAAGAGACCACTTCCTGTTTAAAAAGCTACGCCTGGGCCCGGCTCTTTCTAGAAGACAACAACGGCAGAGAGCAGCAGACAAAGGGTCCCTGGCCTCTTTTGTCGTGCATCACACAAGTTGAAGACAGCCTCTCCTTTGAGCTGTTCTGTAGCCTTGCATGGAGGTGAAGCTGTTTGCACCTGTCCCCCAGGCTGCGGCTGAGTCGAGGAGAAATCCCACTGCTTGCCACCTGGCCCTCGTGGCTGCACGGCCCGCCTGCCTTTTGTGTGGGAGTCGAGGAGCAGAGGGCCCATACATATGCTAATCACTGTTCCGGGATAGGTCTGTGAGTCCTAGGCCCTGTGGTTACAGAACACAGAGCATGTCTGTATGAAGATTAGGCCCCTTGCACACCAAGCCGACATTAAAGAACTAGAACCGACAAAGGCGGACTGATCAAATGGTGTGCGCCGCTTCACGTCTTCTGTTAAAAGTTGCACTTGTGTATACCACAAAGACTGCAGCCGATGGCCCGCTGACCACTGACCTGCATGTACGTTCTGCGCCCCGAGTGAGAGGAAATAACTAATCGGCGGTCTGTTTGTAATCTGAAAAACATAACGTAGAGGCTAACAAACTAGCCTGCTGTTTGTCACACTACTGTGAATCTGCTGAAACTGTCTTACTAAAGATACACGCTCACAGCTGAAGCTTGTTAGAGACTAGACACGCAGCGATCCAACGTTATAGATCAAACAAAGCGCTCTACAGTTACTGAGCTCCATCGACTAATATATCTTGTTGTAAAATGTCCGGGGTAATTGGTAACATCGGTATTGGCCTTGGAGACATTTGTCCATTTTCTGTAATTCTAAGTGAGCTTAAGGCGTGTAGAGATAACGGATACACAAAGCCAACTCTCCAAATCATAACTCCTCCTCTCTGAACCCCATCAGATGATAGCAGTGGCCTTCTGCTCGCGTGTCTCGACATGCAATCCAAACAAACCAGCACAAGTTCCACTCAAATCTTATTGAAGCACAGTCATTATTTCCTGCTTTGGAACAGAGCTGGATTCTTGAGGATGTTGCCTGCATGCAACCCTTTGGGTGGGAATCATAATGGGAAGCAAGCTGCAGGCTGTGGTAACATAGTTTTATCTGCACAGCAGCACATTATCAGGCACAAGTCTACAAAGCACTCGACTCAGGCAGGAAGCTCGAGAGCTAGCGTGATAAAAGGGCCTCTGAGGTAAATAAAGGTGGGTGTTCTTGTTCACGGACAATTTGTGTCAATCAAGAAAGATAGCCTGCAGTATTTCTAACTGTCTTACTATGTATACCTGGGGGGGAAAGTAGGATCAAACTGAGATATCCGCCATAGAAAAGTGACCTACCATGACACCTGTGTGACCTGTTAACATCTCTAGAGTTATCAGCTTTCTCAGGATTTGAGTGCCATCAGAGTGACAATGAAGCCCTTCCACGATCCCCTCCATTTTCCTTGTGATTATAAAAATGATTGTGCTTTTCGGTTTAACCAGTTTAAAACCTACACGTATCACTCACTGCCAAATGAGTAACACGTAGCGAGCTGCATTCCCTATTTGATGTCAGAGAACATCTGTGAGAACTTAGTTTTTTTTTCCTCAACGGCTAAATCCACAACTCCATAAAGCCTCTCTGCCCTTTTACAGCCATCTGTATGAACAGATTAAGCTGCAGCATCAAGTCCCTCAATGTCTGGCAGAGGCATCAAATGGCTCAAGCCATTCCGTAGGCCATGCACAAAATGTTAATGCTAAAGGCTAGCCACACATCTGCCATCCAGCGTGGCCGAGCACAGTGCTCCCTTTTCATGTGAGCACAAGCACCCATTTAATCCGCCGTCCTTTTCCGGGGAAACCAGCGCCAGCAATCCAGCGCAAACGCCTTCCCGGGTGTTCCTCATTATTCACGGCGTTATATTCCATATCATAGGGCAAGGCTTGTGCGTTAGCTGCAGAGACAGAGGGTTTTTCTGTTTGTGTGGGGTCAGTCATAAGGCAGTGTGAAGACACTGACATTTAAGATGTTTCGTACTACTGTGATGACCATAAAACGTCAGATGTTTGAGGAGCAGAGGCACTGTTGATGTGCATAATCGGGGGGGGGGGGAAAGTATGTTGCTTCAGACGGCCCTATGAAACATCCTCCGTCTGTTTCTGTTTTTGCATGTATTTACATAAGTTAACCGTTTCCTTGTTTATGCAGTAGAGGTCTAAAAGACATCTTCAATGAGACAGAACTGCCTCTATGCTCTCTGGTAGGGAATGTTTTGTATATCAGATGTTTTCTTATGGTCTACTAACGACACTAAAGATCCCTGTCGACTCGTTGACCTGGTATAAGCCTAGTGTTTTGCTTGTACTTTGTAGACTAACTAAAGGTAAAAGGATGGGAACTCCAAGGTGGGAAACGAGCACCAGCTGCTAGTGAAGTCCTTGGTTGTGTCGGCTGTGAGTGACTGACGAGGCAGACAATCGGATATTAATTTGTAGCCCTGTAACTGTTTTCTCAAACTATGATTTTTGGAATATACTAGTGTGTTTGGCTTCTGGACCAACAGTTTCCTGCCACAGTATTTATGTTAACCTGGCTTACTAATGGAAGCAATCAAACATGCTACGACTTTTGTTTTTCCTGTTGAAAGTAGTACTTTTCCTCAGGGATTGTATCTCGTGACTGTTTTCCTGTTTTTCATGGATTCCAGATTCTCAGCTTTACTTCTGAGCCACACGGCACTCATCACTGCTTTCACCCACCTCTTTCTCAGCTGGTTATCCAAACATTTAACTTTTAACATATTGAGTTGATGCTCACATTTTGACAGGTTTCACAATAGTGAATAGTCTGCTATTCACTTAAGAGGTCTTTTAGTTTCCTACGTCTCCTGCACAAGCTTTTATTTACTTTAAATTCATGTTGATCTGGAGTATATGTATTTATAAATGTGTGTACATGTATCATTTATAATATTTCTTAGTGAAAACAAATGAAAAATAAATGAGGGCATTTCATAAGACCCATGACTCTTGATGATTCAACAAGGGCCTCATCTGTGACCTTTCAGTTATCTGATCTCTGTAAAAATTAGGCCAACCCGCCACGTAAACAAATGTCAGATACGGCAGGTATCCTCCACTTTGAGGGTTATGTAATGTGTTCTATTCAGATATCTTTGCACACAATGGAAACCTGTGTTTATGCTGATGAGCAGGAGTACATCATACTTATCTTTGTGTGCCGATTCAACCCACGACATGCTATTTAGTAGCCACAGTGTCACACAGTACATGTGGAGCGTGTGTCAATACAGCATGAGTTGTTAGAGGAAATGATGTAGAGTTGTGTACCATATGGTCATGTGTCTGCATGTATTAATGCGTTTCAGACTCCAGGTCTCTGGATTGATGAGGGAGCAGAACTGGGAAGCCCTCACCAGCGGTCGGCCTCCTGGGGCAGCGCAGACCACCTCAAAGAGGTAAATTCACCTGTCTGAACCTCGCTTCACACAAGTCACAGCTGCTCATTACTGCAAAACACACAGATGGTGGATCAACAGAGTGAAGTAGTGTTCAGCCTTCTGTCTGGCTCTAAGCTAGGCCTGGCCTGGTTTAAAACCATACAGCCAGTTCAAAGAACGTGTTTTTGTGATTCATTTCATTTATTCAAAATGTGTTTTATTTGTCAGGGTCTGAGGTCAGCCTAAATATTATGCTCCTTAAGGTTGGTTTCCACTCCTGTCTATCTGCTGCGCTTGGTGGCCAACCAGCCGACCACATGGAGATATTAGTTCTCCAGCTCTCCAGACCTCAGTCTAAATTTAACCTCCTTCTCCCCTTGCTTTCCCACTCAACTGCACCCTCGCATTTCATTATGGCCTGTTTGTGAGAGACGGTGCAGGAGCACCTCAAGGCTGATGCAGCCATATTGTTCCCTCTTTAGTACTGAGGGAACTTATTCAGGGTAACTCATGTTACTTAAAAGCCTCACACATGCCCCTGCAACACAATAGACATTCATGTTTCCTGTTTACAGTAGATCAATACAGCAATATGTTTTAGATGGAACAGGCTTAGCCTTCACTTTGTTGACGAGGGACAGATCAAAAATTAAATTTGACACATTACTATTGAATTGTTAAGACGCGAAATGTTCCAGCTTTTATTGTGAATCTGTGTGGACATGGTGTGTGAGGAGACGGGAAGAGACACATATTTTCTGGTTATGGACTCACAGCGGTGTGATCTCATGACATGTGATCATAAGAATCGGATTTCACAAAACACATCCAAGTGTGAATGTAGTCTAACACTAAAACTCGGCCCATTAGAATCATTAAGCGTTGAACTTTCTGCTTCTGCAGACAGCCCCAGTGGCTTTGGCCTGCACAATCAATAGCACAGCCAGGAAAACCTCTTCCTCATCCTCTGAGATTACATCGGGATTGCCTGGACTTGTCATTATCGACTGCTGCGGTCACCCCATGAATGTAGTGAACTGTCTTCCAGCTCTCTAACCTATGTGATTACATGTGTGGGAGGACATCTATGAAAAAAGCACGTCTCTTTGTTGACTGTGTTGCCAGGATTACAAGATTGGCGTCGAAGACCACACCTTTGTCTGCACAGTACAACTTCATCTGTTCGGCTCACAAAGAGTATCCTGTTTTTAGGCTGATACGGGGCCAGATGCATTGACACCCGTTGACCTGACTCGTTTCATCATCAGACATGCGTGGCTGATTTAACATACGCACTAAAGCACCCTGCAACAATATTCACGTCAAGTCGATCTTTATGGCTGCGCACAGTAGCCATATTGATGCTGCACGCCACATAAATCCGCCTCCCAGCCATCCTTAAAACTATAAGAAAGTATGAATTTGACAAATGGCAGAATATTCTTATTAGTGTAGGTTGTCAGCTGCTGCAAAACGGAGGAAACATCACTACAAATATTCGTGTCATGTCTGTTAAACTATTTTCATATAATTTCCAGGCCAACATTTAAATGCAAGTAGAGCTGCAACGATTGGTCAATTAATTGATACGTTGTTAGAAAATTATTGCAACTAATTTGATAATTGATTAATCGTTTGAGTCACTTTTTAAGCAAAAATGCAACTTTTGATAACTTATCAATTCTGAGAATTTGCCGCTTTTTATTCCCTTGAAATAACAAATTGAATATTTTTGGGTTTAGGACTGTTGGTTGAACAAAACAAGATATTGGAAGACATCTCCTTGATCTTAAAAGGCATTTGTGACTGTTTTATTGATATTTTCTACACCATACAATTAATCAACAAAATATTCGGCACATGAATTAATGAAGAAAATGATCGCCGGTTGGAGCTATGACGCCCTACATGGGAGCAAATATGCTAATCACCTTCCAGCTTCATTCATTTCACAGATGGGGGAAAGTTAAACTTCACATGTTGACCATATTACTGCCTTCACCAGGCGTTTGTGATCCGTCTTTTGCTGAAGTGATGCTACTTTTCTTCCAGCAGATTGCTAAACTGAGACTGCAGCTGCAGCGCAGCAAACAGGTCAGCCGGCAGAACAAAGACCGGGAGCACAGCTCACTGCAGCTGCAGGCGCCGCAAGGCACCGCATGCCCACCGCAGGTGAGCTATTCATGCCATGCCAAACTGGGTCACCCAGTATGCTCTTTTCAGGTGAAAACATTAACCAACTCTGACTTTGGTGATGCAAGATCTAACTCCGTGTATGATAAGGTAGCTTAGCAGCCACGCAAAAGGCATACAAATGAAACAGATGGTGACCAAAGCTGTTGAAGATAACAGAACATGAATATACCAGGGTTAACGTTCTGTTAATGATATCACATTGTTAATCAGGGTTTTACTTTTCATTTGCTCAATCGGTGTAAGTTTGGTAGTTATAAAGCTGTAGGTTATCAGGATGCGATGGTTATGTAGGTGTAGAGTGAAAGTGCCCGTTTGGATTTTTATAGCATGTTTTGCATGAGCCTTTCAGGCTCCTGTATCGGCCATATTTGATCATAAACCACATTTGATGTAATGTAATGATGTTGTATGTTGCACTGCGTTTGACTGGGGGAGGTCTAGTTAATGAGTCCCTTCTGACCAGTAATGTCAAAAGAGGAGAGAGGGAGTGTGTCCGGGCATGCCCTGTCCTCTCCTTGTTTGCAGTTCATTCATTAACAGATGCCTGGCAACAGTACACATACTCCACTGTGGGAAAATGAGCATAAACGGGGATATGCTTTGCCCCATATCCACATGTGGTAGATCACAATCATGGCTGCGTTTTTGATATTTAATCCCGCTTCAGTAACAAGTATTTAAACTGAACGCCTCCACTCATTAAATATTTCATAAAACTGGATCGGCGACGATTCCATACCGCTAACAGATCTCGGTGCCACAAAGTGTAAGACATTTGCAGTATTATGTATTTAAATGCACAATCTGAATTATGAGACTATTATTTTCATGTGTACATCATTTTTTTTAAGCTTATTTTTGTCTGTCGTTGCAGTACAAGGGAACTTCATCAGCTCTGTCAACAATCCCGGTGCCAAAATCCCTGATATGCAGGGTGCCGAGCAGTGTGGAGGGCATCAGCCACGAGCTGGAAAATGTGTTTATCAGAGAGAACTGGGTGCAGGGAATACAGGTAGGGACACACACACACACACACACACACACACACACACACACACACACACCAGCAACGGGGTCGAGCTGTATTTGTGCTTGCTGAACTGTAAATGTGTCAGTTTAGTTTGTACTATGTCTGAACTCTACCTAATTTATCCATTTACAGTTCAGTCTTATTTGTACCAGGTGGGTTACATGTCAGATTCAGACTGTAAATATGAGCAGCCCAGTGGGGAAAAGTTGTTCATGTCCACTTTTTTGTAATTATGAGTTGGAATTTATAACGGATAAAATATCTCCTGTGTTGGTGAAAATAACTGCATAATTGTCCACAAAGTGCATTAATGAAATACAATCAGTGCAGCCAATTAAAAAGAAGCTTTATATTTATATAGATGTATATCTCAAACTGCCTGCTGTACCTTCTCTCTTTAGTGTGTCCACTGTCCTGCAGCTGTCAATTGATGAAACAATATATGACATAGACATGTTGCATTTAACATTGTGCAACAATCATTAATACTTTACTGAATCTGTGAAGTATATTTATTTACTTAAAGGGATGGTTTGGGTGTTTTTATGAGGTACTCATCTATATTCAGTGCATTACAGACAGTAGGTAAGACTGCGGTCAGCGTGCCCCCAGTTTGGAGAAGCAGACTAGAGTATTGGCACAGCTGTGGATATGTGGACTGCTGTGGATATGTGGGCAACAGAAAAACGTATCATAGCCATCTAAAGCAAAGACCTGCCTAAATGTATACCAGTTTAATTGTACACTATATTTAGAGTATTTTTGCTAGTTTACTGTTGCTGTGAGACGGCTATAGAGTATGTTTACTGCTGCTGGTTAGTTTGTGTTATTGTGTGACTTTGATCATTTTGAATTCACCAAAGAGATTTGTTTCTTCCCCTCAACATCAGTCAAACTTTAGGTTTATATACCTGAATATGCTTATGGTCAAAAAACAGCCTTTTAGGCTATGCTTGAAATTCATAACATGCACAAGCAGGCTTGTGAAGTCACTTGCAGCATGGTGCACCATACAGTCCGACAGTAAGACACACACGCATATTCTCACTCACACTGAATTATATTCTCACTCTCACTGAATTAAATCTCTGAGAGGCGAGGACACCCGTAAATCCTGTCTGATGTGGGGTAGTGAACCTTGGCAGGTCTGTAAAACTCCCCTCTTAGAAAGTCACACGCACACAGTTTAAACACCCATTGAAACATACGCACCACTACAGATTTACAACCTGCTGTGCACCAAGCCCTTCTCTTTGCTGCCCTCCCATTTGCATCAGTTGTGCCAAAGCAGAACGCTCTGCACATCACACTGTTGCTCTACTGTCACGTATTACCATCTGGTGTGATGTTTGCTTCTCCAATTGCCCTTTGAACAGACAGACACAAACACACACACACACACACACCAGAGACTCTTCAGTGTCACTCATTCTTAGATTCAGTGGCATCAGTTAGTGAGCTGGTAGCTGTTAAGAGGAACGCTGCAACAGTTCACGATGGTTTTTCAAGGACACTTTATGTTATCTGTGATTGAATGTAACCTTGTGAGTTATGATTCTCTCCAGACTCTAAGCACCACCACTCTGACATTTTAGGATCCATGTACATTAATGCTTCACCTCCTCCACCCTCTGACCTCACAGGCCATGGATGTGGTGGATGGCCGCCGCGCCCCCTTCCCTCCGCATCACTACAGCAGCAGTGGGGACACGCGTGACACAGACACACAGGCCCCGTCGAGTGGTGACTCCAGCCCGTCGCCCCGCCCCTGCAGCTCTGACCATGCCCACTCTCCTGATGGAAGCCCGTGCTCTGCAGAGGAAATTGACAAAGGTGTGTGTGTGTGTGTGTGTGTGTGTGTGTGTGTGTGTGT